ATGTTTTTTATTCTATGAAGGACTTACACTGTTCTATTTTTATTGCATACTTTTCGATACATCCACTTTGCTAATTTCATTTTAGCACCTTAGCAAGCAACATAACCTTTGGGACAACCAAGTTTCTATAAATTGCTTGTTTATGGCGCGTATAAAAGATGAATTTATAAAAATGTTATACACTTTAGCACTGTTCTATTTAGTACACTTGCCATAACGGTTTGAATCTTTGCTAACGCCATAATTTATGTCCCAATTTATGCCACTTATTGATTATGGATTGTAAATGTGCTACTGTGCTACCGTATAAAAAAGCAATTAGATCTGTTATATACAGTCGAATAGTTTTGTGTAGAAGAGTAAAAAAAGATCTAATTTATTTGTATACGTTAGCACAGTAGCACCTTCATTTCACATAATGGTTCTCGACACTGCTTTTTGTTCTTACGACGATACAGGGCCAATTCGAAAAGGGCGGTGCGAATTCGAAGGAGGCGGGCGAATTGAATAATTCCTTGGGCGGAATTGGTCGTAAATCAATATGAAAACCGGTCGTATTCGTTCCTTGATCCTTACTCTTTGGCCCAGAAAAACGCGTGGGTGGCGGAGTTTTAACTGCAATCTGACCGCCTGCTATTGGGTTATAAAAACTAGCAAAAAATTGATAGTTTCAATAAAATGAGTCTTGGTTCTTTAAAGACAAAATTAATGCCAGCAGTTTCCAAACTTTTTCAAAATTAGGGTTCCAGTTTCCAGCATCTGTAATGACTAAAATGTTTATAATGTGTGTAATGAAAAGTTAGAGCGCTGTATTGCTATTTAAATAATCCTTTGGTGACCAAAATTGGTCTATCAAAGTTCAAGATTTAATTTAAAATGGCCAAAAACCATTTGGTTTCCAAATAAATAATTAATAACTTAAACTTCCTACTTTCGGAAATAATTGTTTATTTTTCCCGATTTGCATGAGGAACCGCAAAATTGATTGAAAAAACTGGACAGTTAAACATGGTCTATTTGACAAAGCTTTGATTAACGAATCCCGCATTCCGATTATTTGCCGAGAGCACGGGAGTGGGACTGGGTATATTGTACACAGGATAGAGGGGAGCAAATTCATTGACCCCAAAAGCATGGAGCTCTTCCTCGTTGATATTGCCGCGCTGCGTGTGCCGGGATTCCTCATAATTTGGAAGTGCTAAAAAGAACAGGACAGACACAAAATGATCATTATAATAAATTAACACGGTTTTTAAATAACTTTTTCTTGCCATCCATGGATATTTTTATACCCTTGCAGAGGGTATAATGATTTCAGTCAGAAGTTTGCAACGCAGTGAGGGAGATGTATCCGACCCCATAAAGTATATATATTCTTGAACAGCATGACTAGACGAGTCGATCTAGCTATGTCCGTCTGTCCGTCCGTTTTTACGCAAACTAGACTCTCAGTTTTAAATTTTCGAATTTAATTTTATCATATAAGCTGCCATAGGAACGATCGAAAAATTGGTGGGAAAGTAATATGAAACAAATTGTAGCTTCGGTGTTTTTTTACATATACCCTCCTACGCTTGGAAATAACATTTTATAATTAGTTCTGAATTTCGAATTTAATTTGATGAAAATCGGACGACTATATCAAATAGCTACCATAGTAACGATCGGAAAATTGGTAAGAAAATAATATGAATCAAATTATAACTTCGGTGTTTTTTAACATATAACCTCCTACGCTTGGAAATAACATTTTTTAATTAGTTCTGAATTTCGTATTTAATTTTATAAAAGTCGGATGACTATATCATATAGCTGCCGTATGAACAATCGGAAAATTGGTGGGAAAATAATATGAAACAAATTATAGCTTCGGTGTTTTTTTGACATTTTATCTTATACTATTGGGAATAGAATAATTATAACTGCAAGGGTATAAAAACTTCGGCTTGTCGAAGTTAACTTCCGTTCTTGTCTATCTTCAAGTTGCTAAAAAAATTTTTTATTGTCCGATAGAAAATTTATTGTCTATTGTGTTATGAGAGCTATTACCATTACCATTATTAATGTCAATAGCACTTTCTTATCGTTTAAATGTAGAAACATTTCTCATTTTCTTTAAAACAATAAACAATATGTGTAACTTTTACCCAAATCTTCCTCGTTTCGCTTTTTACGTATTTCATTATCTTATTTTTTTGTACTCGCTATGTTAGAAAACAATGGTGTTAAGGCATTAAGACATTTATTCTGAACAAAAAAAATCAAAAATTTCAATAAACCCTAACCTTTTTTTTGAAAAACTGGCATACCCCGACTCTAAGTGCTCAAAAGATTGCGTTGAACTTGCTTTTTTGCAATGTTTCGACAGTTAATTATCCATACTACAGATAACTGCGTACTTAGTTCCTTAAAGAATGATTTGATAAGATTGCAATCAATCAGGTTCATTGGCACGTAGACTATAGAAAGATATTTCTTCGCTTTGGGACTGTAAAATCGTGATCTCACCTGAATCAGCCGGACTGGGCGTCAGATCGCTGGGCATACTGCCAAGTGCGGTCACCATGGGAAGCTCATCAGGAGGATCCCTTCTGGATTGCGGTCCTTCGTAGTGGGCACTACGTCGGGGAGGTTGCTGAACCACAATGCCTGAAACCGCCAGGGGAATAGTTCCGATAGTAACTGGCATGACCATCAGCTGCTGCTCCCGGAGGCTCTTCACCAGCGCCTCCACCTCCAGTTGATAGGCAATTTGGATGATGTTGCTCAGCTCCACGCAAGTGGGCGGGGTGGATGGCACGGGCAGATCGATGGTCAGGGAACGGGTGCACTGCTTCAGCACCGAGTCCCCCTTGGCTCGCGATATTATGATTCGTTCCACTCGGGAGTGCTCTGGACTCACGCTGTAGTATCTAACCAGCATAACGAGGGACAGTCGAAGTTCGGAGACGGCCATCGCAGTGTTGTTGACCACCACCACGGTCACCGGAATCTTCTGGCCGGGCACATAGCCCGCTTGCGGCAGGTTTATCTCCAACTTGAGAGGATCCGTCTTGCAGGGACCGCAGCAGAAGGTGCGATAACCCTCGCTGTGCGCAGCCAACTGCGGTCAAAAATACATTTAAAAGAAAACATATATCTGAATTTTAGTATAGGACCGCTATAAATAAATATTGTTTATTGGATGTTGGATGTTGGATGTTGGCTTTATACCCTTTCAGAGGGTACTATAATTTTGATCTGAGGTTTGTAACATTAAGGTCAAGTATGTTAAAGTTTTATGTTTTTCAATATATGTTCCCTATATTTCTCTGCGAGGATATTAAAAATGGTTATTATTATCATCAAAAATTATGAAAGACAAAATATAAAAAATAAAAAACTATATTGAAACCAATTAGATTCAAGACCCAAAAAAACGCTTTTTCTTCGCATATATGAAAAATATTTTAAATTTTGTAAGCAGTTAGCTTAAGATTAAACTCACCCTTAGTTGGGGCGTGTCAAAGTTCAGATCCAGCATCTTGAGAACCGTAAAGCCCTTTGTATAGGCCTGGTCGTACTTCCATGGTCTAATCAGCAGGACTTTGACTATATAGCGGATGCAGCCATGGCGGCCCTCGAAGGACGAAGGACACTGGTAGGGCAGCTGGCAGGCGAAATTGTAATTGTGCACTCCAGCCTGAATGGTGTGTCTGTTGTTGTCTTTCAGAGATACAAATATTTATAAGTGCAAACAACTCTCAGAGTTTCCACATGCTTTACTCACTTTGCTCGGAACCCAACAGATAAGTGTTGGATGCTAGATAATCCTCACGGCCCGCATAGAGCTTTGACGATCCGAGACTCTTCTCGGTCCATTTGGTTATAGAATAACCCACTACCTTAAGTAGCACAGCTGATAAGAGAAAGAAGAGAGTAAGTTCAGAAATCAACCTTATCTTGGACCATACATAATCAGTTAATAAAATTAATCGGCGACAAAATGATTAACACAATTCTAATGTTAACTAAACTCTTTATATAGAAACTCGCTTTAAATATTCAAAATAATTAATATGATGTTTGTTATATAAGGGGTTTGTATGGTTGTGTTTGGAGGTATCGGAAACACTTATCCCAATCTCGGTATTGAAATAATCCCAAAGCGAAATTGCTGTGTGTTGTTATCAATCAACTTCACACATTCCGCACCGAAGAATGTCCGCTAAAGTCAATGTCGTCATAAAAATAAATAATTTGCACAAATACACACATGTCGTTATCGAGAAAATATTTATAATACCGCGGCTATATAGAGCTAAATTTGAACAATTAACTGAACATTCGGTTTCACGTTCTTTTCTTTTTTCTTTGATTGAGTACCTTGAACCTCCTTGGATCTATCGCACTTGAGGGTCACGCAGCCGTTGACAAGTTGACCCGCGTAGAAAGTACCATGTCTATTATTATCGAAGCTGATCTCACACGTAACGACCATTTTTATTTTTCCCAGATTAAATGACCGAGCGAGCAAACAGCTAAAACCGATGGTCTGGGGCGACTAATTTAAGTACAAAACTTCTGGACTGCTTGCGGTGCGACCGCGTCGTTAGATAAGCGATAAGAACCCCAACTTGGAGCGGAAGGCGGAATCGGGTTTCTCCGGGAACGACATGGAATCGGACCCCAAACTGTATAAGAGTAGATAAAAAGTGCCCTTGCGAACTTTTTTGGAGGTTCGCTCTGGGGGTATGATTGTTTGGCCTGTAATCTGAGTTTGAAACTAAGACCTTATCCCTGGAGAAGTTGGTGTCAATCGTTATTGTTCCCTATTTAAGGGGTTCTGATAGGAAAACCACTTATTAACATAGCAGAAGCAACTTATTTGAAACGCAAAAATCTTGGAAGGCCAATAGTAACAATAATAACAGTTCTTAAAACGCAAATAAGTGTATCGAAGTTAAAGCAGCACTAGTGTCCCCTCTAAAAAATATTGATAAACATTTTGGCAAATTTATTATAATGGGTTTAGATGTGATATTTTTATAGCTTTTGCTTTGTTTACAAAACATGCTTCTCGTTCTTAAGTTTCTAGTATTTTTATCGGTTTTCATAGCCAAGTTCCCTTGTCCTTGTCGACATCCATAGCGGGATTGACAAAGGCTCTCTCTGCCATATAGTTCTGTGTATAATCCGCTGGCGGTGGGGCTGAGGGACTTGGAATGTCGAATACCGGATAGAGTGGCTTGTAGGCACTACCATCCAGGTCAAGAGTATTGGGCTGTACTGGCTCCGGGTCGTCTAAGTCGTCGGTTATGGCGGCACCCGTGCTGCGCATGTGAAGAGCCTCCTGATAGTTGGGGGGAGCTAAAAGTAAATATTTGACATATAATAGATAAAGACAATTTGCAATCTTTATAAACTCACGAATTGAGTCATCCACAGCCCAGGGGCTGGAAGCATTTGGAGTAGGAGCGGTGGGTACATTGGCACCAGCCAACCCATTTACATCCAGTGGCTGACCTATCAAACCACGAGGTTGGATCGGCACATGTTGGGCTAGGGGAACACTGCCAATGGTCACAGGAATGCTGACTATCTCGTTGTTGTGGCAGCCCTTTACTTTGGCCTCCACCTCCACCTGGTAGGCTATTTGGATGATGCCGCACAGGTTGAAGCAGGTGGGCGGGGTGGCCGGGACCCTAATCTCGTAGGTGAAGAGCTTCTTGCAGTTCCGCTGCACGGAGTCCCCCTTCATGGTGTTGACCACCAACCGCTCGCATGTGAAATTGGGCATCGAGGGAGGCTTGCTGTGGTAGGTTACCAGCATCACAAAGGACATGAGGAGCTGCTCCACCGGAATGTGGCTGTCGTTGGTGATCAGCACACTGAGGGGAATACTCTGGCCGGGCACAAACCCTGTCTGGGGAACTGTCAGTTGAAGGGCCAATGGATCTGAGCGGCAGGGCCAACAGCAGTATGTTTTAGAGGTCTCACTGTGGGCGGGTACCTTAAAATATACGATTCAATTAGTTTTTAAAAATATATACAGATGTGTTTCCATCCAAAAGCATACCCTTAGCAGCGGACTGTCGAAGTTGAGGTCCATAACCTTGAGAACCGTAAAGCAACGCGTATAGCTCTGGTCAAATTTCCAGGGTCTAACCAAGGTCACGTTGGTCATATAACGCACCCTTCCATTGGTTCCCTCGAAGGACGAAGGACACTCGGTGGGGATTTGGCACACAAAATTGTACGTGTGAATGCCAGCTTCTATGGAGACTTGACCTGCAGATAGTGTTAGTACTTAGCAAATGTTCTTGAAGTGGAATGGTTCTTATACGAACTGCTGAGATTGGATCCAACCAAAAAAGTTTTGGATGCAACGTAATCCTCTCGGCCGTAGAATGTGCGTCGTCTCCGCCTCCTGTTAATGGTTACCTTTTCGATCCATCGCGTCTCGGCGTAACCGGTTATGTTCAAGGTGATGGCTGCGGAGAAAAAAATCAGCTGATAAACACGAATTTGGTAAACATGGTACGTAAACATTTATTCAAAGGGGTACAATGTTTATTTGTGCCCTGTATTTACCAAATACACTTTTCGTTTTAAATGTATATAAGCAAAATTAGAATTGTTACACTTTATGTTTCTCTTCTTCAAGTCCATTATTTAATTAATAGTTAGAATGTAATGATTCGATAAAGAACTATCTTTTTTAGCTTAAATTGGTTGCAGTTCATTAATTTATTCGTGGCTATATTTTGAAAATGATTTTATTTAATGTTTTAAATTAAAAAATTGTAAAAACAATTGCTTTGCTTTGATTTTATTTACGAAATGAATCGGTACTAAACTCGACACCTTAGGGAAAACCAAACATTTACCTGCCCATATTTAATATCAATTAACGCGAAAACCATTGATTGTTTAAAAATAATTTAATCTTATCGACCGCAAGTACTTATCATCGATGCATTTGTGTATGTTCACCTAACACCTTTCTGTGGACATTAGATTTTGCACGTGTGGTTCCCTTGCCATTATAAATAATGTGAGTCACTGTGATCGATCTTCGTTGCAAAACGTTTAACCGCACTTAAAAATTCAAAGATAAGATAGGCATGACTCATGCCTGAAGTATCGCCAAGTTGCCAAAGTATCCCAAACGAACTCCCTCACCTTTCACCAACTTCATCTTGTCCAGTTTCAGCGTAACCCTCCCAGTCAGAACCTGGCCCCCAAAGTAGGTGCCATGGGGATTGTTATCGAAGTCGATTTCACAGGTAACAGCCATAATTGTAATTGTAATCGTAATTGCGTATTTATTGGCCGATCCACCTCCGATGCCAGTGCAAACACGACTGATTTGATTTTAATGCCAATGTTCAGTTATTTACTCCCTAACTTCCGAGAACTCCAGACAGATTGGATTGGACAGCTTTCGGCGGAGCAAGTAACAACATGCCCACTTGCCTGCCAGAAACAAACTGAGAATAAAACAAACATTGCGATGGTTCTATATTGGTAGCGATGGCCAGGCCAACTTTTATCTTATCGCTTCCACAATTTTGAATTATACATTTCGCCAATTGAAGCATACAGGCAACAAGTAAGCCCTGAAGAACTGGGAAAATGCCAAGGATTTCTTAATTTGGGGGATTGGGTGTCCAATTGTTCTCAAACTCGAATTATTATTCTCGCCCTTCCTCACTTCTTTTCCTCTTTCTCTAAAACAGCCTTTTCAGCTTTTTCTTCATTTTGAGTAGGCATAGTAAAGACAGGATAGAGCGGCTTGTAGGAGTTTCCTTCCACATTTACCGATTCCTGCTGTCCTTGCTTGGAGCTCATAGGATCTGTAGAAGAATACATGGCCTCAGCATAGCTAGGTGGTGCTGTAAGATATCATATTAACACAAACTGGTGTAAGGATAAATTATTAAAAGAGTACTTACATAAGGTGGATCCCTCTGCCCAGGGGTATGGAGGGGCAGCTGGAGCAAAAGCACCCTCGCCTTCAACCAAAGTCAAAGCTCTTTGCTCTGGAAGCGGGGGGGCAGAGCTGTCTGGAATATATTGCACCATTGGCGGTGTTATCGGAACCCCACAGATAGTCACAGGCATTATCAGAGTTCCGTTTATGTGCATGCCCTTCACCTTGGCCACAACTTCGATCTGGTATCCGATCTTAATTATGCGGCACAAGTGTAAGCAAGAGGGCGGAGTGGAGGGAATCAGCAGTTGGAAGTCGTACATTCTCCGAGAGTTGCGCCTAACCCCATCTGCCTTCAGCTTGGCCACGGACTTGCGCTCACTATTTGTTCCTGAGCTAAGGTCACTGTAGTAGGTGATCATCATGGACAGGCCAACCTTCACTTCGTACACCTTGATTTTACTCTCGTTGCCCACCAAAACATTTATGGGGACCGTCTGCCCGGGTACAAAACCAGTCTGCGGCAGATTGAGCTCCAGGGTCAGCGGATCCGATCGGAAGGGCCAGACACCGAAAGTCTTCTCAGTCCTGGCCTGCACGGGAATCTATAATTATAATAATAATTTAAATCGTTTATAAGATTTATCTTTAGGAAATATTTCTTCATGTTACCTAAATACGAAAAGATTATACCTCTCCGAACTGCTTAAAAATATTATTACAGTAATATAATATACATAAACCCACCTGAGAAACAGACTCGTAGGTGCCTACGTCCATTACTTGAATTACTGTAAAAGCTCTTGAAAAGACACTATCGTACTTCCAGGGCTGTATAATATTGACATCCACCATGTAACGTATACGACCGTGCGTACCCTCGAACGAAGAAGGACAGTTGATTGGAATTTGACAGGCAAAATTATACGATCTGGTTCCGGGCTCCAAAGACATTTCTTTAATAATTGCAATGTAATTTATAAACAAAACTTAAATGCATATTAATACTCTTACCGGTGCTTATTTCGGATCCCAACAGAAAAACTTTACTGGAAAGGTATTTCTCAAAGCCATTGAACGATTCTGAAGTAGACTTATTGTTCGAATCAGTTTTGCTTTCGGTCCAATGGGTCTCGGCGAAACCTTTGACCTTAAGTCTAATTGCTAAGGATGTAGTAATGAGTTAATACGTATTGTTCACTTTTGCAGGATTCACACCAGCAAACTCAATCATTTTGCTTCAAGTTCGATTGGGCACTTACCCTTAATTTGAATCACTTTATCCGTACTCAAAGTCACTTGGCCAGAAATCGTTTGGCCCGCATAGAATACTCCTTGAGTATTGTTGTGGAAAAGAATTTGGCAAATTATTCCCATGGTTTTTGTTTATGAGGATCCCGCCGTAAGTTTTCTATTTATTTATGGCTGGCGTCACTTGTTGAGCTGTTTCCCCTTTAATGGTCACAAATAAACTGAACAAAAAAGCTTCAATCTATTTCTTTTGTGCTTCGGACACCTTTGGTTTATTTATCTTATCAGTACAGCCGTAAATCTAATTATTGGTAAAAAAAACCCCATACAAATTCTTTTACATTGAATGGTTGACTTCCAACGTGTGAGCCATAATATCAGTAATAAAATGAAACAGCTGATTGCTGGCTCAAACCAAAAATCCCCCAACCGTGAATTGACTCTCTAGTATTTCGAGAGAGCCATTTCACTCAACTAGAATAAATATTTATACTCCAGTTGTTGATTGCACTTGTCTCTGAGCTATATCTTCGATAAGATAGCACATAACTCAGCTAAGTATTGATCACTGGGGCATAAAAAGTTCCCACAGTGCGCGTTTCGCAACAAGGAAACCAGGTATCGATTTAACTTGATCTGTTTTGCTTTATTAAATTGAATTCTATACTTATTTTTTTAAAACACCTTTAAAGCCAAGTGCTTTTTTCTACCTCGTCATTAACATAGCCTCCATCAGTCTTGTTTTCATTGGGTCTCACAATAACTTCTTCCATTTGATTTGACAAATCAAAGACACCATACAAGGGAGTAAACGAAATGTCTTCTCTTTTCTTCTGCTGTGACCCCTTACCAGTTTTCTTCTGAGACTTTTTTTTAGACTTAGCGAATTTTTGTGGATCCGGACAGATGTGTTTTGCTGCCATATAATTCGGCGTGGCTGCAAAAAATCAATAATATCTTTATAGTACACTCGTCAGTATTATTTTTTCTTATTTGCAATACAATCATTTAGTTCAATAAAAGAAAATGCTGCTTTTATCAAATTTTTCTGGCTTACATATTTTTCTTTCGTTGAACATATAGATAGCATTAACGATTTGATCTAATTTACCAAAAATGGAAAACTCACCAATAGATGGGTCTGCAGACCAGGGAGTTGGAGGGCCAAGTGGTTCTCCAGCCTGTTCGCTCCCAAGTAAAATCAATGCCTTGACATCCAGTTGCTGGGGTAGTGCGTCCTCGCCCCAAATCTTTGGCTCTTTCTGCAGTTGCCTCGTTAGCGGGACACTTCCAATAGTTACGGGTATGTGGAGTGACTGACCACCATGACAACCCTTGACCCTGGCCTCTGCTTCAACCTGATAGCCGATCTGAATGATGCTGCACAGATTGAAGCAGGTTGGCGGAGTTGCAGGCACCTTGAGATCGAAGGTTAGCTGTTTGCAGCATTTGGTCGACACTCCCTCTCCAACTTTCTGGACCATCACAAAACGTTCCTTGTTGGTGTCGGCGCAAGGGGGCTGACTGTAGTAGATCACCACCATGGCCAGTTTTACGGTTATGTCCTCCACCACTACGCCACTGTCGTTGGAGACAATTACTTCCACCGGTACAGTCTGTCCTGGCACAAAGCCACCCTGTGGCAGGGACAGTCGCATACTGAGGGGCGACGAGCGACAGGGAAAACAGCAGAAAGTGCGCTGTGACTCCACTTGGCTGGGTACCTGAAAGGTAATTTCACTTTTTATATGTTTATAAACGGTACTGATATAAGAAACGATATTTTTACTTCACAGATTGTTCTTGGAAACACCATAAGTTAACAAAGACTTACCCTCAACATCATACTCGCCGAGTTTAAGTCCATCACTTTGAGCACAGTGAAACACCGATTGAAGTTCTGGTCGAACTTCCACGGACGCACGAACCGCACGTTCACCAGATAACGTATCCGACCGAGTGTCGCCTCGAAAGAAGAGGGACATGTGATGGGCAACTGACAGGCGAATCTATATGTGCTAGTGCCGGGCTCAATAAGCACCTCTGAAATGGAGCTTTGATTTCATTATCTATTGATTTATGGTGATTTATCATCTTGGAACATACCTATGCTGGAACTAGACCCGTGCAGATAGGCCCTAGTGGCCAGGTAGTCCACATGCCCGTTGAATGATTCACCGTTCGATTGATCCTCCGGATCGTATTCCGTATCAGACCAATGGGTCTCGGCATATCCTTTGATTTGGAGAATCACCGCTGAATGGAAAGTTAAGTTTTCAATGTGGCTGCTATTTTTAGCTCTTGCAATACATGCACTTCAAATCCAATTAAGTCGGCCCGCAAATAAAGTTTGCTTCGAATGGAGATAACGAGTGAAAATGAATCAGCGTCTTACCTTTAACTGGTTTCCTCTTGTCAGTCTTGATTACCACCTGTCCAGAAATCAGCTGGCCTGCATAAAAAATCCCCAGGGGATTATTAAAAAACTCAATCTCACAGATTACCATTATTCGGATTGATTTCACTGATAATCCCGGAACAAGTTAACTTTTGCCCTGTCTGCGTCGTGTCTCCCAGCGAACTGAAGTCACCCACTGGGGCTGATTTTATTTTATTTTTTTGCAGCATTTATTTGGACAACATTTTTATTTTATCTTATCAATGCGATAGGTATTTATGTATTTAAACACAAATTTGTACCATTGCTGGAGTATTTACATATGTAAGTGACAGCGATAGGAGATATATGAAACTGCCAGCGGGAATTGATCGATAGAAGGGGGAGGTTTCACAAGGTTGAGATAGCGGAGATAAAGCGTTGTAACTTCAAGGGCCACTCTGACATTTAGCTACTGAATTTCCATGCAAGTTTAAATACATTTATGGCGTTATTTCACTCAACTCTCCGCATTGCCAACTACCCGTGACTTTGCACTCGCTCTGAAATCAAAAACATTGCAGTGGGTTTTGTAGAGAGTTAAGGCGATAAGATAATGCCGGCCATCGACAAATATTGGGTAAGAGAGTCTAGGCCCTGTTAACCATTCAGTTAGCCTCAGTTCCCCTTTAACAGCGGGCGAGTTAGGACCGTTGGCAAAAATAACAGCTCTGGAGAGGGATAACCCCCAATACTGATTCGCCATCATGTCGAAGAACTGCATGATAACGTTCGACCAGAATGAACACGGCACCTATTTCACCGGCCAGGTGATAACCGGCAAGGTGATTGTCAATCTGAACAAGACCAAGAAACTGCGAGGTACGTAAGCCCAAGTAGGATCCCGGAATTTATCACTAGCTAGTCGAGGGACTTTCGCTTATCTAGCGTGGCGTATCTTATCGCTCGGATAATGTCAGGTTTGGCAAAAGCAAAAATTTCAACAAACCATTGAAATGGGTAATTAAGTGATAACCATGCGGACACTCCAAATGTGCGATAATTGATGATTCCTGGAGCCTATAGACAGAGATAATTTTGTTACTTATGGCGGGGGATCTACCCCGGTGATTTAATTTTTTTGAGGAAATACCGGCGGACTTACTCATGTTTATTTTTTGATTGGGCTTGCCAGTAATAGTACTTGATATCGGGTAAAATATATGAATGCTGTTAATATTGAAAAATTTAAAATTTTTTGTGCGTTTGTGGTAAAAATTTTGTGCAACATTACTATTATGCAGCCCGGTTCTCTCTTTTAGGAAAGATCCGTTTCGTATAGTTTGCGTCAGAAGCAACAAAATAGAACAGAGTTTTGTCACACCAAATCTTCAATTATTAACTTCATTAAATACTGAATTATTCATTTTTCTTTGAATAGCGAGTTATGGCTTCCGGTTTGCGCGTTATCTTATCATACTATTAGACCCACCTTGATAGGCAACCCAGTTTAAAGTTAAACAGAATTATAATCTCAGTTGCAAAAATATAAACAAAATTTTAACATTTTTACGATGCCATTGTACTTTTTACAACATTTTCATTTTAGCACTATCTTACCCTAAATATGCATTTATATACGTAAGCTAACTGAAAAGCTTGGATTATACATATATGTATAGCACCATTGCATCCTTCCTGTAATTCCGATTGTAACATATCTATATTTTCAGGGATCAAACTGCAGATCAGTGGCTATGCACAGGCGCAGTGGCGAATCCGCAGACATGGTCGGGCGGTGGCCATTCAAAATCCCAAGAAGCGATCGAAGCACCAGTTCAGCGGAAGGGAGGACTACATAGCCTCCACCACGTACCTCATGGGCTCCGAGCAGGGCAGCAACTTCAACATGGACGCCGGGACGTACACCTACACCTTTGCCTGCCCCATTCCCAGTCACTGCCCCTCGTCCTTCGAGGGGGCCTACGGCCACATCCGGTACCTGGCCAAAGTCACCTTCCTCAAGCCGGGCGCCTCCAATCGCACCCACAACGTGGGCTTCACGGTGTTGAAGCTCCTGGACCTGAATCACGAGAACAAGATGCTCCGCGAGCCGGCGAGCAACGAGGCCGTGGAGTACTTCTGTCTGATGCACACGAAACCCGTGCAGCTAAAGGTCACTCTGCAACAGCAGGGCTACGTCCCGGGTCAGTTTATGCTGGTCCACGCCCAGGTGCGCAATGATTCGAGCTCCGATTGCCGCAAACTGCTGATCATGCTGCACCTGCGGGCCACTTACACGGCGGACCAGCCGTCTTTGCGCACCACCTCCGAGAAGATAATGCTGGTGAAGCGCGAGTGCGGACCGGTGGCCCATCACGCACAGAGGACCTACACGGAATCCCTGAGGATCCCGGCCACGGCACCCACCTGCGAACACCTGAGCAAGATTGTGCGGGTGTCCTACGAAGTGCGCGTGGTGGCTGTGATGAACTGGCTGATGGCCAATCCGCGGGTCATCATCCCCATTACCATTGGCAACGTTCCTCTGGCCACTGCGGCCTCCGGACCTGACTTTGCGCCCACCAACGCCTATGCCGCTGGAAGCCCCCTGCCCGCCGATTTGCCCTGCACCTCCACGAGGGCCATGGAACTGGCCCAGATGTCCAGCAGCGGGGTCAGCAACTCCGGCTACGAGATGAACGAAGATCTGGAGGACTTTGAGTTGCCCGAAGACGGAGACGATGAGTTGGAGGCTACCGACGATTTCGTGCCAGATTTACGTAAGTTAAAGCAAAGTCCTTATAAGTAGTTTCGCAGCTATGTATAAACAATTGATTAAAAGTTCTGAAAATAATTGCATAGTTCAAATTGAAAACAAATAACCTGATAGGTAATACGCTTACCTATTATTTATTAAAATCAGAACTATTCGAAATTTGTAACTGTTTAGAAATCAAATATTACTCGATATTAAATAAGTTCTGTTTGCAACAAGTCATAGCAAGAAATGGTTAATAGTTTCCTAACGTATGGAAGTATGGAGTTATACAAATGTCTATGTTATCTTTTTTTAAACAAGTTTTGTGAATTTATTTTTCCACAGCTCCCCCTACATACGAACAGGCCATGTTTATGACCACTGATATTGCGGACACGGACGCAAACACCGTCAGCGAGTCCTCGCGGTTCACACCCCGCTACCCGGTCTTCGATGTGGACACCTTCCAGAGTCCGCCGCCAAATCCTCCGCAGAAGAAACGCCGCCGCCGGCGCAGACGACCCGCCGATCCCGGACAGTCGAAGCAGCGTCCGGAGAAACAGCCCGTGGAGTCACCCGTGCAAATCTAGGGGTGTTTATCACGCCTAATCACAACTATATCTTATCTCGGCAGTATTTATTTCTTTTCGGTTCGCCAGTGTACTAACCAAAATATTTATATGTATATCAACATATACCTGCAGAATGGTAAATAAACAAAGAAGAATATTAAAGTGTCTTCTGGGTGATATGCTATAAATGGCGATAGTTGACAGTCATTTAAAAAAATTATTGAGATACTAGACAAAATCCTATAAATATGGTTTACTTGATTGTTCAATTAGTAACTGTAAAACTTTTTTAGTTTATTATTCAAAAGGAGCAGTATTCAATCATCAATTTTAATAAATGCTCGGTTACAACTACCTTTGAACTTTCAATAAAGTTACAGCTGATTTTTGTTTACAAACAAAAAGTGTTTTAAACTAGCGTAGTGCTAAAGCTCTCTCTTATCTTCTAGCCATTAAAAACTTTCGCGCTCAAGAATTAAAAGTGTCAAACACTATTCTCTTTCAGACCCATTCTCGTTTTTTTCAGTTTGAGTCTAAAACTTGTCTCGTGCTGATTAACGTTCTTGTTGCGTGTCAACAAAAACTAAAAACTAATGTTGGACTGATGTTACCAGATATCTTTTCATCAATAAATATACACTTTCATCAATAAAAGTGCTTTGAAATGCGCTGCACTTTTTAGTTCGATAGCACCGTTCCCATATATGTACTTCAGTGGAGAAACTATAAGTGACCAAGTAAGACCTCTCCGTCAATGGTGAGATCTAGTAAAAATCTAGATAAATTCAGGTGTTCAATCTTATCGCAATGTTAGTGTAAACTCGGAAGTAATACCGAATCCGGCTTAAACGAAATCGGATTATGGAAATGCCATTTAATCTACATAACTTAGATTTCCCCAAGTGCCTAATAACATATTCAAGTAATTAAAACTGTTGACTCGCTTTGAAAAGCTCAGCTCACACCCGCAATCATGATATATACCCTCATGATTATACCCTTTACTCAGTGGCGGATCCAGAATTTGGATGAGGAACAAAAAACAATTTGTTGAGTGCAAGACAAAAATTTGCAATAAAATAACCACGTGTGTAACTACTTTTCTTCTAACTATGGCAAAACAAAAATCTTTGAGATTTCAAAATATGCATTTAATGATTATAAAATATATTCTTGTTATTTTGTTGTAGTATACAAATACACACATATCAACTCTTCCAGTCATACTAATCAAGAATACAAATACTTTGTAGGAATCGTCTGTTTAACTGCAATACCAACTTATGACATTCCAAGTATTTCAGTTAAGATATAGTCCAGAATAAAAATTGTAATATAAGAAACTTAAGTTTAGTTGTTCTTTTGTTCAAAGGCAACAGTACGTATTAGTGATACTTATGACTTGTGATATACTTTTAGTCCTGTAAAGTCCGACCCTAAAAGGCATTTTATTGATACAACATTTTAATGCCTTAAATGCCTAGAATGCTGAAATGCATTTTCATAAAAATATGGACCACCCTAATGTTCATCCAAAATTCATACATACGTACCTAAACGATCCAAAAGAGCTCGTGGAGCTTTCGGAGAACCTTCTGTTTTGTTTGCAAATATCTGATTTTGTTATTATTGGTAGCAATGCAACAAACGAGAGTAAAGTATAAACAAAGGGGTAAAATGTTTATTCCCCAATATATTTTTTTAAAAAGAGCGCAAGTCTTAACGCTCACTCTTCTGATTTTCCTCTCTGTTAATAAAGCTTTTGCTCTCAAAAAGTGATGATGTCACAAACAACTTAGCTCTCGCAGACCGGCGATTCTCATATTATTCTCATTTCGGGCGACGCTTGTCTGGTGTCTGGTGCTGAATAAATTTTTCGCTATAGCGTCGCCACAAAATATAATTTTGGAACTTTTACTTTCAACTACCAGCACCGACATAAGGCAAAGTTTTCGGTGCCAAAAAGGACTTCATCATGCCCTCTACCTGCACCTTTGAGTTTGATCGCCCGGAACCAATTTATTATAGTGGAGAGACGATCAATGGACGAGCCGTTCTGACAACTACATCCGAAAAGTCGGTAAATGGTAAGTTCTGACAGTGTTCAAGTTAAAGTAGCTGATCTTTCTCTTTATCGTTGTTGATTTACTTGAGATAACCATACCCTATACTAAGCCGGTTTTATAGAATGCTGTAAATAAAACCAGTTAATATCACAAAGTGTTTTACATCTTATATAAGAGCGTATCCAGCGATCATATGTAGGGTTTCTGTTCTCTGAAATTCCTTATGTCATATAAAACAAATTAAAATTGAAGCTAATTCCCGATGAGCTCAGTTCGCCCCCTAATACAACAGGCAATCATATACAAATACAACATCAACAATATGTATGTGGGCCCATTTATTTTGGTTATTGAATTGACAATTCCAACGCAAACTTGAAAGCTTTAAAAAAAGAACACTTTGGTACATATGTATACATGGAACGGCAGAGATAAGAGAGCAACAAGTAATTTATACAGTGGGTAAACTGCAAGCTGAATGTTTTCAGTTCACTTTAGTCACAATATTATTGACTTACCCCCTGTTGTTGCTTGAATTATCAAAGAATTGGAGTCTGATAAAGCTTCGTCATATTCAAATGTTTATATACTAAACAAGCAAACTTGCCTCATGATAGTAAACATGAAGTATATATTATATACTTCTGTTGCATCCTGATGAGTCAATTGTCAATGATTTCTGACCAACAATATAGTATCAAATGTAAATAAATATAAATTAATTTTTCTTTTGCTATTTCCAGAGGTTTATATTCTTTTCGAGGGCGAGGCCAAAGTTAAGTGGGATGAGAGCAGGTCGAGAACCAGAAATGGGAAGACGGAGCACTACACGGAGCATTTCCGGGGCAAGCAGACTTACCTTAACACTCGGACCTGTGTGTTCGGATCCGGAAATCTCCCTCCTGGAACGCACACCTACAACTTCTGTATTCCCCTGCCTCTGGAGTGCCCTTCTTCAGTGGTGGGTCAGTATGGAAAGATCTGCTACGAGGTCTCCGTGATCATCGATCGGCAATGGCGCTTCAACAACGTCTTCAAACAGCCACTGACGGTACTGCAGACCTACAACCTTAACATGAGTCCTGAATTGCTGGTGAGTCCAAACGATCTTATAAATAGATCAAGATTAGGCATTCAATTAATTTCATGAAGAAATTAATTTGAAATCGGCAGCACACACTATATAGATTCTATTTGTGGAAGACCTTCATCTACATTTAGATTAAAAATACTTAGCATTTTAATAAGTATTTCGCTCTATTTCGCTTTACGAGTATTTAACTGGTATTTGGTAATCTTTAAAAATATTAGGATATTGTAATTATTATTATTATTGTTTTTTATTAAATCTTGCTTTACGAGTAATTTCAGGGTTTTATAAATCATCCTTGAGTTTGGCATTTTTTATATGTATTTTTTTAGATATATTTAATTTAAAAAAAAATAATGTAATTTATCTTAATCCTCAGATGCCGCTGGTGCGCGAGGACATCAAGCACTTCTGCTGTTGGCCCTGCAGCTCGGGTCCGGTTCTTTCGACCCTGACAGTACCCTTCGGGGGTTACGCACCAGGTCAGAAGATTCGCTTCACCCTGGAAATCGACAATCAGTCAAGTGGCTATGATCTGGACGGCATCGAAGTAAAGCTTAAGCAGATCTACAAGTTCCAAGCCCAAACTCCGCATCATAAGACCCGTGAAAAGGAACACAGTCTGCATAAAAGTTGCCAGGAGGAGCGGGTGCTGCGGCTCACAAAGAGGATAATTGAAGGCACGCTGGCTATTCCAGCGGTACCGCCCTCCTCCCGCATGGAAGGTATCATATCGGTTAGCTATAAAGTGATCCTGACAATCAGCACGGGCGAGTGCCACGTGGACTCGGACTTCGAGGTGCCGATTGTCATTGGCACTATTCCATTGATCCAGAGCGCAGAAAATCCCTCGCATGCAGCAGAGTGGATACCCCAGACACCCGATACTCCGGCCGGAGCTGCCGCAGATCTGCCTCCCAGCTATGACGGATGCAGTAAGTACTATAATAAATCCATTTAAAATATTATGATGCATGCTTAATAATATTTTCCGTGTTCATCCCACAGAACCACCAACTTTCGAGGAGGCCACCCATTTTGGAGATAAGTTCATCGACACCGATGTGGACGAGCACAATCGCTCGGACGACTTTATTCCGCGCTACCCGATGTACACCAACTTTGCCATGCCTTCGGCCCCACCACCACCCACTGGGGAATCGGATTGCCCTTACCCACAATCCGTTCCCACTTTGTCACTACCTCATGACGCCACTGCCCCTTTAATCGCGGGCAACCCCACTGATCGCCCAACACCATCGTACGGCTGGAACTCTAACTCATAGAAACCAAAAACAAGAACCTCACACGTAATCTCATGACGGTGTGTGTGTCCCGAACAATAATGGATATTACTTTTTTACACACCTGAGCCATTCTCGTGTCTAGAGCTTAAGTTTGTTATACTCGTATTTATGTTGCAATGCCATACCTCAGGAACATCAAATTTATTTTAGTAACTGCAAGCACACATAACATTTGAAGAATAACATTTTGAAAAAATGTTATGTATTTGTCTTATTTTAACGGTAGTCTACGGCCAGATCTTATTATCAATCGAATCATTCTTATAAAGGATGTTTTACTTTTGGATTACGTCTTTCCTCAAATAAAAGTTTAAGACAGTGGCCTTATTAGCTTACACAATTTGTAAATTGAACGCTTAATTCCACTTTGTAAACATTTTTTAATGTTTTAGCATTTGATAATAAAAATTTAAACATTAAGTCTGAAATACTTGTTTTTAATCATTAATCACTGAATAGCCATTTCAAAATTTTTTAAAATAATTTTAAAAGATTATAATTGTTTTAATTTTTTTCAACAAAAAGCTTTTACTTTCGTTATTTGATTTTTTGTTTCTTGTCTTTTTTCTCCAGAAGTAGCGGTCGGAGGGTATATTTAGAGCTTCAAACGTACAAATTGGCACATAAATGTTATACATGACTTTAAATTTATTTTTATGTGAACGCTAAAAATTGGTCTTGAGAAGCTTTTACCTATAAAGCACCCGGATTTTTAATTCAATTTGTTGTTCAACAAAAAATTTGAAAAGAAAAAGGCGGCAAATCAAATATGCAACAAGTTTGTTTTCATTGAGAATGAGCACCAAAGCTTTCTCTCTTTGTTTTTCTTTTTCGCTTTCGGAAAATGATGTAACAAAACATCTAGCTTTCAAAGGACTAGCTATTTTCATGTTTTTTTTTCAGTTTGATTATGGCTCTAGTCAGGTCCTGAATAATTTTAATGTTTGCGTATAGTAAAAATAGAAAACTTTAGTTTTTTTAAGTGACATTATACAAAAACTTTTAGTAACAAAAATTCTAAGTTCAAAATGCCTTCGAAATGCTTTTTTGAGTTTGATCGCCTTGATCTAATTTTTTTTAGTGGAGAAACGATCAACGGGAGGGTCACTCTAACAACAACGTCTGAAAAATCTGTAAACGGTAGGTTGCAATAATAAGTTAGCTAAACTTTACAAATTGTCTATGAGAATGAATCTCTAAGTGATTTTTGTGCCACCCAATACACTGAAAAAAGGATTCGTTCTTAATTTTAAACATTTGGAGTCGATGGTGACTTTAGAGTAACAGAAAATATTTAGTAAATTTCTTAAAATAAACAATAATCTTTCTAGTTTATAGAAAAAACCGAAAAAACCGTTTCTTAAAGCGCATTTACATGATTAAAATTGGCTCTATGCCTCGATGAGCTCAGCTCCAAAAAAGCACTCCTATGTTAAGTTTTTATTACAAATTTATTACTACTATCTTTATGCGGCACAAAATAAACAGCGGAGAATGTGTGAACGCAAAATTTCTTAGTGTTTTAATCTTATTATTCTTCATTATATTCCGGTATTACGTTTGGATGTCCAACATAAAATGAACAGGACTCGTAACACTTCATTGGAAAACCTACAAAGTTGGCGAGAACACAGTTAATACTATTTAAAATGTTTATAGTTTTTAAGCGATTGTAATCATTTCGGCTGAAATATAATACAATTACCTACTGTTAAGGAAAATTCAGTTGATCCCTTTTCTAATAAAGTTGTTTGACTTTTTCTTTCTAATTTTTAAGTGATTTACGTACTCTTCGAGGGCGAGGCAAAGGTTCACTGGGGAGAAAGCAGGACTATGACCGTAAATGGGCAGACGCAGCAGTACACGCAGCATTTCCGGGGGAAACAGACGTACGTAAAGATCAGCTACGAAATCTCTCTGGTAGTTGACCGCCATTGGCGTTTTAACAACGTCTTTAAAAAGTCGCTGACGGTACTGCAAACCTACAACCTCAACATGAGTCCTGAATTGTTGGTGAGCCCAAAAGCTAATCGTCCTTCAGACAACTTGGCATCAACAAGATGTATTAATAATATAAATAAAACGTAAAGTGATCATTTCGGCTACTTACACTTAAAAAATGTTCTTAATCCAAAGGTTCCATTGATGCGTGAGGACATCAAGCACTTCTGCTGCTGGCCCTGCAGATCGGGTCCGGTTCTTTCGACCCTGACAATACCCTTCGGCGGCTACGCACCTGGCCAGAAGATTCACTTCACCCTGGAAATCGACAACCAATCGAGTGGCTATGATCTAGAAGGCATCGAAGTGAAGCTTAAGCAGATCTACACGTTTCAGGCTCAAACCCCGCGGCACAAAACGCGGGAGAAAGAGCACAGCCTGAGTCAAAGCTGTCAGGAGGAACGGGTGTTGCGACTTTCAAAAAGGATAATCAATTATACCCTGGCCATTCCATCGGTACCACCATCCACCCGCACGGAAGGTCACATCATATTAGTGAGCTATCGGGTGATAGTGTCGCTAAAAATGGGCCACTGCAACGTGGACTCGGACTTCGAGGTGCCGATTGTCATTGGCACTATTCCATTGGTCCAGAGCGCAGAGAACCCATCCCGGGCTGCAGAGTGGATACCCGAAACACCGAATACTCCGGCCGGAGCTGCCGCTGATCTGCCTCCCAGCTACGATAAGTGCAGTGAGTATCCGATTTGAGTCGAACTATCTTCAGTTTCATACTCAAACATATGTTTTTGACTTTTTAATTTAATAGTTTCCGAAAATACATTAATAATTTAAAAAAGCAATATTTAATATCTAATTTTATTTTTATATATTCAATGTTTTATCATACCACAGAACCACCGACTTTCGAAGAGGCCACCAACTTCGGGGAGAGGTTTATCGACATCGATGCGGACAAGCACAATCGCACGGATGATTTCATACCGCGTTATCCGATGTACACAAACTTTGCTTTGCCATCAGCACCCCCACTTCCTGCCGAAGAATCAATTACTTATCCTCAACAACATGTTCCATTGAATGGTGGGAGCTCCACTGATCGGTTTACACAGTCCTACTGCTAAAATTCTCACTCATAAATCTCCATTACTTGTTTAATGTCTACACAAATATAAGTAAGCGAAATCACTGCTGGTAATGAAATATATATTTTGTGTAAGTTTACTAATGAATGAAATAAATTAGACTTCTTATTAAAGGAATAAATTGCTGCTGTGCGATCAATGGGACTTGACTTCCTCCAATTGAGTCTGGTCCATTTCGTAGTAGACATATCGTGGTCTAAAATCCAACTGCTCCCCGGACAAGTAGTGTTTGTTGGTCTTGTTCAAATTGGTGGCAACCATGAACTCGGCTTCGCGGAAATCCGAAGCTAGACGGGGAGGAAAGTTAATATTCAATTTAACGTAATCAAGATCTGGAGAGGACTTACCCAAAGAGGTGGTGGAAACGCTGAAGTCCGGAGCCAACTTTTGGGCAGTTTCGGCGGGAGGAGTGGGTTCCGGGGCACTGCCGTCCATCGGATCCTGCATTAGGAGTCTTCCTGGACAGGGAGGCGTCACATTGCCAATGATGACTGGCATCCGGGAGGCAATGGAGCGTTTCTCCTGCTGAGTCCTGACCAGAACCTCCACCTCGTAATCCAGCTGCAGGCAGGCACATCCTGCCACACTCAAAGTGGCCGCCGTTTGGGGCACTTGCAGCATGTGAAGATGCTGAAAATTCGCTAGTTCTCCACGGGGGAGACTATGCAGCTCGTGGCTGCTACTGAGGATAGTTTGTCGCTCCACCTTGGTTTCCAGGCGTTTCGGCTTGTTCCTCAGGTGGGCCACATAAGTGCTGATCTGAACTAGGGAGTAAGTCACCTCTCGAAGAGGCAATCTCTCCGGATTGTGCAGCTTCACGTGAACGGAGATGCCCGCTCCTGGAGAATAGCCCTGCCTGGGAATCTGCAACTTCAGGTGCAGAGGCTTCATCCAGAACTTTAGGCGAGGAGTCTGCTCGTAGATCTGGACTTCACTGCTCCGGGTCTCCTGGCTGAGACTGTTTTGGGGGAAAATCAGCAACTGGCGCACATGTAGCACCTCCAGCGGACGATCGGCACTGCTGTGGACGAGCACTTGGAGTGTGTACCGGATGTGTCCGTGGGCTCCCTCGTAGTTACCCGGACAATTCTTGGGCAGCTTCACATGAAAACCGTAGTTGTACGTGCCCGCCTCCATTATCTGTGGCTGCGCGGCCTCCGAGCCCACAAAATAATCGATTTTGGCAAAGTAATCCACTCGATAATCAAAGTCCAAGTTCTGACTCTGCACTTGCGGCTCGTTTTTCTTTGGTTTCTTCTGCTTTTGCGGCTGCTGCCAGGCGGTAGATGCATAGCCATTGGCCTCCAAGCTAATTGCTGAAATACATGGGATTAAAAAACAGTTCTATTAATATAAAACATTTTGAGTCTAGTCAAAATTATGAAATATTCACAACTCTTTTGCAACCCCTTTATAAACAAAGTGGTGAAGTATTGAAAATGCAAAAGTCGTAGTAAACACAAACAATTTTTTGTAAGCGAAACATTTTTTGAATACCTTCATAATTGTTCTGGGAAAATTTTGTTTAATATTTTGACGCTGATAAGCTTGTAAAGTATTTTACAAGTGTTTAATCTAGTAGTAAAAAGCTTGTCCAGCTTAAACTCAGAAAAAGTTATAATCTTTTATCAGTTGCTTTGAATTTCAATTAAAATAAATTTACCGATAGATAAGCGCACCGGTAGGTATTAGCAGCTGGATTTCACTGCGACAAGCATTATCAGCAATTTCTCAAAACCATAAAGTGGATCTCGATCGGTGAGTCACTGCCCCTTGACGGGATGGTTGCACGGGGTAGCCCCATGAGTCACGCTCCTACTTACCTCTGATTAAGGCCCTCTCCGAAAGGGTCAGATAGACGTGACCATTGACCGTCTCACCGGCTCGATAGGCCCCCCGGGGATTGTCCAACTGGATGTCACAACGGTGGCTCATTTTCAGGTCTCTGCTCTCTGTTGACGGCTCGACTGCTGACCGATGTCTGGCACTTGTTGACAATATGGTCGCCCGTTAAGAACGAAACTCAGTGCGGCCTTATCGGTGGTTCTAGGTGTGAATGCTACCACAACCATGGCTATTATCGCCAAAGCCACTATCTAATCTGGCCTAGGACGCTGAAAGCGGAGAGTGCCGGGCGACAACTGTTATCGGCTATCAAGTCATTTGTAATTTAATTAAAATGCATTACATCGCATGGCAGGTGTAGCCTACATATGTGCGAAAAGTCAGAATGGATGACGGATTCAAGGACACTCCATATCACAGTAATGAGCTTTTTTAGGATGGGTATACTTTGCTGCGGAACTTTGTGTAATTAAACAAGGAAGAACGCTATAGTCGAGTACCTCGACTATCAGATACCCGTTACTCAGCTAAATGGAGATATGCAAGCAGCAAAGCGAGATTAAAATGCGCCACCTACCGGCGGTAGACAGATTTAAGCGTTATGGGCGTTAGAGTGGGCGTGGCAAATTTATTTTTCGATAAATCGATAGGTATTGACGACACCAATACATTTCAGTTAAAATTTTTTATGTAGCATGCAAATTGTGGGCGTCACAGGTTTTCGCGGTTTGCGGGCGTTTAAGTGGGCGTGGAAAACTTTTTTTTAGGTCAATCGATAGGTATTGATGAGAACAATACATTTCAGTTAAAATTTTTTATCTAGCATCAAAACTGTTGGAGTTACAGTTTTGGGCGGTTTGTGGGCGTTAGAGTGGGCGTGGCAGTCTACTGAAACAAACTTGCGCTGCGTAAGAAGCTCAGGAATCTGTACGCCAAATCTCAATAGCCTAGCTCTCATAGTTTCCGAGATCTCAGCGTTCATCCGGACAGACAGACGGACAGACGGACAGACGGACATGGCTAGATCGACTCGGCTAGTGATCCTGATCAAGAATATATATACTTTATGGGGTCGGAAACGCTTCCTTCTGCCTGTTACATACTTTCCGACGAATCTAGTATACCCTTTTACTCTACGAGTAACGGGTATAAAAATAAATTTAGGAAAATGTTTAAAATAATATAGGACAGTAAACCATTTTTTTATGAATCAAATCAAATCAAAGTCCCAAATACCTTTATAACATTAACATGTCAGTACTACCCTATACCCAGTGCATTTTACAAATTGATTGGTTTGTATACTGCATTTATTTATTGTCCACTTAAGAACGCATTAGTTGGTACTTAGGATAATTAGTAAATTTATCAAGTCGAATATTTAAACCGTAAATGTTTGATGGATGTAGAAAAGCGGTAAATATGTGTGCTAGAAATAAAAGGACTTTGGCACTCAATAAGTTCGATTCGATCAATTTTGGATGGTACGCGAGTGTACAAATTTGCGCAATGAAAGCTCTCTAAACCTAGACGACGGACTAGGATCCGGCCTAAAAATCCTGTATAAGCCTTAGTCTTGAACACTTAAGTTACTTGTTACTTGGGATGGTAATACGTAGGTATGTATATAAGACACTTCTCCATTAGAACAGGTCTTCATCCTCCAGCTCCTCCTCGATCTCGGCAACTCGGGCCCTTGGAACTGGTCGGTGCACCTGGGCAGTCACATCCACGACCTCCGTCTCCTCCTCAACCTCCGGCTCCCGCTCCTCGACGTGCTCAGAAAGTGGACCGCAGAGGGATCCGAAAGTATCCAGACTCCGGCCCGTGTGATCCGTGTTTAGAGAGCCGTACGACCTGTACATGTGCATGTCCAAGCCGGAGTCCTCCATTCCGTGGGCTGGAGCCGTCCCGATGAGGGTGCTAAAGCCGGGAAACTTGGGTAAGTGAATGCGCTGCAGGACCACTGCGTGGTTACTGCCCAATGTTTGCTGGCTGCCCGCCAAGGTGGCAAAACTGAAAGAGGGCGGTACTGCAAGTAAAAACGAAAACAGCTGATTAAATATTACACCAATCTCAAAAAACAGTTGTGAGGCTTATTAAGACGTTGATTTATCTCTATTTTAAATACACAAAGTATAATTTGTATTACTGATTGTTGGTATTTATTGTACTCGCCCTATTTAAAATAAACCAAAATGACATAAATATTTTAACGTTTCTTTTAAAATGCATGCAACAAAACTTAAATTTTTATATTATATTTAACAAACTTTATAGTTTTTATAGATGTAATCTAAAGTTACAGGAAGTACAAAATGGGCATCCGGTCTGCTCTTAGATACTTTCACCATCTAAGGTATACGTTTTGCCACACTTGTGATTACATACTACCTTATTTTTGTTTTAACTTATTAACTATAAAATAATTCAAAAAGATTTCAGCCTCATGTGAACATGCAACTCCTTACCTACAATAGTCAACAGATGTTTTTCAATTGTAAAATATCAGATTGTTTTTGTAAAACAAAGGTCACAAAGAGCTTTTAAATTTATAAAATTGCGTTTATACTACATAAATATCGTGTTCAGTTGTTAAAAAACCATAAAGCAATTCAGTAAAATAAATAATTGGAAATAGAGCTGATTGTTTTTTAAATCAAAGGTCACAAAGAATTTATATAAATATCGCGTTCAGTTGTTAAGAACAAAAATGCAATTTATTAAGTCAAGGTCTTTTCAAAAATGGCTTTGAAATTACAAGCAGCCATGAATGTGAAACGACTATAATTACTTTGGCTTAAATTGTTTTCTTCCTACATGAGCTGATATTGCACCACATTTACAATTAATATAATTATAAGTAACTCACGGCAACTGTCGTACGAGGGTGGCTCATCGTCCTCGATCGCCTGGTGCGGTTCGTCGGTGGCCGCATCCGCTTCTCCGGCGGACTCCTCCTCCAGCGGCGGCGGCCGGGGAGTCACCCGCTCGATCAGTCGCTGTCTCTCCGGCGTGGGCGTCCTCCGCACGGGCTGCTGGGTGTGGACCGAGTCCCTGAGGTGCTGCAGGGAAGTGGTGCCCACGATGATGGGCACCGAGAGGTCCGTGTCGTAGTGGAAGTAGCCCGTCTTCAGCTTCACCTGCAGCGTGTAGTGGAGGAAGACGATGTAGTTGGGGTTCAGGGTGGACCGGGGCGTGTCCATGGGCACACAGATGCTGGACTCGTACTGCCGCTTGGACAGGCGCAGAGTGCGGTCCGAGATCAGCTCCTTGACCAGCGTCTTTGTGTAAAAGTTCCGCTTGACCGGCTTCCGCGACAGGAAGACGAAATGCTGCTTGATGGACACCTCCACGCCGATGATGTCGTAGTGGGGCGACTGGTTGTCCACCTCCAAGCGGAAGGGCACCTCCTGCAGGGGCGTGAATCCGGAGGCGGGCAGAGCCAGGGTGGAGCAGATGGGACCCGAGATGCAGGGCCAATGGCAGAGGTATTTCAAGTTTTCGTCCTTGACAGGCAGCTGGTATAGACGGTGTTATTAATATGAACAATAGGAAATACGAACATGCATACTTAGAAGCCTTTCTTTGATAAAACTAAAAAATAATAATCAATTAGCTTTATTTTTAAAATAATTAATAAAACATTTGCTTTAATTTTAAAAACCTATATTAGCTAACTGTTTAAAAGTTTGATTTTTAACAAGAGTTTATTAGAAAAGTACAATTTAATTGAATAACAAAACTGTTCTATGTAACGCTTTTAAAATTCTTCAAAAATAACCAAATAAAATTAATTGGACGTTGAACATGCCTTCCGAATTATTGTTCTCTACCATAAAGGCCCGCGGTCTTCAGTTCCCGATGCTCTGTCGCCACACGCACAGTATACAACAACGGTCAGCAGCTTTTCCGTAAAAATTACTCAAGCAATTGAAAGGAAACATGCCATTATATTGTCCGACCGCTGTTTTGGGCCATGCAAGTAGGCTATGAGCTCCCAAGAGCAAAGGATATTCATGCCAACATTTTATGGGTTCTTTTGTAATTGCACTTTTCTGTTTACAAATTTACTAAAAATGTAACCAGTTCATTTTCTCGAAGTCCTAACGCAGCACACCGAAACCCATTAGCAATCAGCTTTTTCAGGTATTAAATGTTTTAATGACGCGATTTGAAATCGAATATAGGGAACATTGTCAAGTTCGTTGAGGCAAAGCCAACTGAATGGCTTAAAAACCACTCCAACTTACTGCAAACTCAGTGTTGTAGTTGAGGTCCAGGGTCTGCACGACGTTTATGGGCTTCCGGAAGACCTCGTCAAACCCCCAGGGCTTGTCGATGGTCAGGGAGATGGTGTAGGCTATGTAGCCGTAGGGACCCTTGCAGGTGGATGGGCAGTCCGGGGGAATCCTCAGAGTGAGCACGTATACGTGGACGCCAGCCCGGAAGAGGGTGTTATCGAACACATTGGTGCGGGAGTGTAAATATTGCTGATGGCCCGAATAATTGGCCGTCTCGCTCTTGCCGCTCATCGACCACTGAACCTTGGCCTCGCCCTCCAGGGTCACATATACGGCTGGGGAATTTCGGGACATGTATAAATCCCATTGGGATAGGGCTCCAAATAGAGTAGGAATAACCCACCATTGACCCGCTTCACCTTGTCCGTGCGCAACAAAATGCGACCACTGATGTACTCCCCGCTGTTGTAGACCGGATTCAGGCGATCCAGCTGAAAGACACAGGTGGTGGGCATGGCTGCTTCACTTCCTTCCGGCTTCACTTCACCAAGACTTCATCACTACTATTGGGGGTTTCGAGAAACGGAGCTCCGGAGAGCAACCCAACTTCCACACAGCCAGACGCGCACTGAGTTCTGAACGGCGAGTTCTTTGTCAGCATCCGACGCCATCAGGCTTTCGCTTTTCGGGGAGCGGAGTTTCGGGGGCGTCGAATCAATAAGCTGGCGCCTTGCGTCTGTGTAGCCGTCTACTGTCTGCTTCTGGTCTAATATTTCAGCGCGAAACGTTCGGAAATGGAGCAGCTTTTGGCCGTGGGTCCTTTCGGTTTCCTTTGTTTGGCTTTGGCTTTGGCGTTGGCCAGCGCACGCACACACTCACTTATTTAGCCACGAAAGTACGGGGACGAAAGCCAACGGGGCGGATGCTGGCGAGGTCAGGAGCCAATATCCACTACATACTGGCGTATTTTTTGGTTATTACCATATATCAAGCGCCGATACAACGCCCGAAAGAATGTCAACAAAATCGAGCAGTGCGTCACAACAAGCACTTTGCTTTTTGGGTTGCAGGCTTTGGCTGTAACCCCTTGGCCACTTTGTTGCCGCATAACGTGGCACAATTAGTACCTCGAAATTATTCGGGCACTCACTCCATTAATCTCGCATGCATAATTCCGATAATGAGACCTCGTCATTTGGTCGGGGGATGTACATAAATAAATGAGGCTGCATGAAATGAGATGTCCACAGAGAAAAATGTAGCTTAATATATTTTATTAATAGCGACTTAACATTTTTAAAGAAACTTTTTTGACTTTTATTGTAAGTTAGGAAGAATCTAACTATTCAATTTTTTAAAACAATTTAATAATAATAAATAACAGGCTTAATTAATATAAAATCAGTTTGATCCAAAAACCTGATAGACTGGTGCACTATATGTTTCAGTTAACTCGCAATAACTTAAAACAACTCATTTAGATTTTTTAAATATAAATGTTATAAAATTAAAAAGCTAATTTTAAAAAAATTCTCTGATACATAAAAATTATTCTGTGCAGTTTAAAAGTAACACCCTCTATTCCGTTATCACCGTTTTTCAGTTAAGTTCCACCGAATTCTTAAAATATCAATAGCTTGACACTGAAATTCCAGCCTCGGCACGTGTCAGGGTAGTACTTTCTTATACAAGTATCGCAATGCTAATTGCACGTACGACTGTTTTCTCTTCGGGCCTTTTAGTAACTTGAGGCGTTCACAATGTTTGTTCAGCCCCAAGGCGCCATTTTCCCGGGAACAGCTGTGGGCCACAAACTGATTAATTGGCCTAAACAGCTCGCTCTGGCTCAAGGCTAAAGGGGAACAATATTTAGTTACTTGTGAAATGATGAGCGTAGAGTATATTGGCTCACCCAAGTTTACGAAGCAAAGTCGGGAGGATTCCACGGGGGAGAAAACTGGGGGTGCTGCTGTGGCCACAGTAATGGGCAGTTCAATCGGAGCATCGCAGTTGTTAAATGACTCGATAAAGTAACTGATTTGTATGGGTTCCAGTTGATCCGAATGGCTCATAATAGGAGCTGTCAGAGGCAGGCGTAGATCACCTTTGAGGTCCGAACACTCTGATAAAACTTGTCTTACTGTTTTGGTCTTTATACTAGGTTCCTGACTTGTGTAGTTGGTTCTTTTACAAAGCCGGGTTAGAAAGTCCAAAACTCCATCCTTAGAAGTAACCTCATAAGATACACTTTGCCCGGGAACAAAAACACTTCGGGGGAGAGTAAGCCTTAAATTCGATGTTTCCTTAAATTGCGGTTGTAGATCGCTAAACTCCAGGCTCTTTCTTATCACCAGTCGCTGCTGAAAGCACTTGTTGTATTTTCCCCTCCTTTCAATGACAACCTTTAGCAAATACTCCACATTGCCGAAGGGAAGTCTGCAGGTGGCTGGCAGATTATCAGGGAGCTGGAACTCGAAGTCCCCCAATAGAAAAACACCAGATTGTAGGCGTAGATCATCAGTCAACCTCTTGGTTTGATTTATGTGAACCTTGCTGCCCTTGTAATCCACTTTGGCACACTCCAACTTTCCGGTACTATCATTATGCTCGATTTCCGGGGGACCTCGAAGTGATTCCCGCCAGTGAACCGTTGAGACTCCGTGGAGAGTGATACTTACGCCTGTCAAAGGGGAAAAAACAATAAGATCAGTATAACAGATTGCCCACTTATTTGTAGAACTCTCCCCTATCTAATCATTAGACCAACTCATTTGCCTAATGGCATCTTTTACTTACCCTCTAATGGGAAAGGTTTTTTTCCGTCGACTGTCACAGTGAGCGAGCCTGAAATTTGCTCGCCTGTATAATAAACGGCAGCGGCACGCGATAAATTAAAATCACAATTTACTGGCATTTTTAGTGGTATGGAAAATTATGGCCAACAGTTGCGGAATACCATTATTATATTAGTTTTCAATAATCCGTGTTCACGCGACAGAGACTCCGGTTGCGACCTCGTCGACGGACGGCGAACAAGTGAGTGTGACAACTTGAGGTTTTAGCCGAAGCTGATGAGGTCTGAAAAACGCTTTCCTCACGAGTCGTCTACATGAGAAATGGCTGCTGTTTTACTGCTAATTTGGCCCGAAGTCTGTTTTGGCTGTGGCGACATAAAGATATAAATTCAGTTTACGACCCAGCTCAGTCTACTGAGATTCTTTACTGACTAAACACTTTAGATGGTCCGTTATCAGGATGTGACCCAGCCTCCACTTAAATCAGTTCACCTGTAGCTTCGGGGTATACATAATATATTTTGCTCATTTAGCTTTATTAAATTGGATTGAATCGAATTGAAGACAGTTAAGACTTAGGAATAGACTTATATGATTGCTGGTTAGACTGGCTTTAAAATCAGAGGAAGTACAAAGTATATAGTAAGAGGGTTTACACAATCTAAATTTAAACGCTTGTATATAAACTAGAGCAAAAGACACTTTTATATATTCAGTTAGACAATATCTCTTTTAGACACCTAAAGATTATGATGATGTGATGACTTGATTATTAAATGACTGAATAATGAAAAATAATAAAAACTAGGGACAATTTGGCTAATCATCGCTTGTAAATTTCTCATAGATACTTTATAAATACAATATTCAATATTGGAAAATGTTAATTTCGTATTTAGTTTCGACTCTCCTTTAGTTAAAATTGTGCAGATTTGTTAGGGGCCTTATCTTAATCTTAAGGGTTGAAGGATTTCATCTAACTTTTCACTACGTTGTTCGTATATATGTAGCCAGCGATCACTGTGTTATGGCCCTATAAAACTGTGTATTCAATTCGCTGCAATTTGAAATCTTTCTTAAAAAAAAAAAATGTATTAGATAATTTAAGAATAAGGAAGAAACTAGGATTAGGAATTAGTTGGGAGTAATATTAGGACTGATAGAATACAAGTTTGAAAAAAAATTAAGAGCACGGGCATTATTTTGAGGAAATTAAATGAATTCAAAAGTAAATCCATCTTAGGGTAGATAGTTCTAATACTTCTTTAAAATATATACCTCTCTGCTGTCGCTCTATAAAAATGTGTTCGATTTGCTATGTCCAATTTTTATTACGCCTCAGACTTAATTACTACTAAACGTTAGCGCTTGTTTTGAATTATCCGTTTCTATAATATTTTGATTTCGAGTAAATATGTAAGTGTTGTTGCGGTTGCCTTATTGGATAACATTTGATGCAGCTCTTTCCATATCGGTTGATCCCAGGCCGACTCATTTCTTTTCGCAGGCGAGAGACTCTCCTCCGCGTGTGTTTGTGGTCACCTCCTCATCCATTTCCGCTTCCGGTGGTGCCGAGTCCTGACAGCTGAGTGTGAGGCGCAGCTGGGAATTGGACTCATCGTAAAGCGTCTCTGGGGTTTTCGGATTTCGGAGGAAGAAGGTGGTAGGGGTCGTGAGTGGACGGTACAAAATGTAGCATGTTTTGGGGCGGTAACAAGAGAACAAATTTACAAGTTAAGAACATTTTGAAAATGTTTCTTATCGGCTTACGTCTAATTAACAGAGAAATGCATATTAGAAAAAGTAGAAATTGTTAAGATAAAGCTTTGAAAATGTATAATGCTCTTAAATGGTAATTGGTTAATGCATTTGTCTTAATATTTAAGAGACGCTCTAATAAAGCATCTTAAATTTGTAATATATTTTCAAATTGATAAAGGTATTTGGTTCAGACGTATACAAATGTGGTATATTCATTTAAAACGCTTACAATAATTAATTAATTTTTGTAATGGATAAATATAATTTAAATGAAAAAGATATGTTAATGGTAATGGAATACTTTAAAAATTACTAATTAAACAATTTTTTATTAATATAATTTAGAGAAAAATCGTCGATAATTTTTTATAACATGTAAATATAATTAAACGTGCAATTATTTTGGGTATACAATTTTATATAATAGGAATAAAATGTAAATGTAATATATATGAAAAAGTTATAGTTAATTAAGTAATGAGATTTAATTGATAAAAGATTAAATCTTTACAGACGCACAGATCAAAGGCGATATTTTAATCTTAAAACTCAGACGATACCTGCAGAGGATAATTAAATTCTTCCGATCAGACAAGAATAAAGCAAACATTGATATTATATCTCCTGCAGATAGCAGCGGACAAACTTGGATAGATTGTTTCTTTTCAATTTTAAATCTCATCACTTTGACATAATACAAGACATTTAAGAACAATGCTCTAACTACTTTTAAGTAAAGGAATAAAATAAGAATATATAGAAAAAGCCACTCAGCCATTCAATTGATTTTGTTCATTTTTGTTTTCTTTTTTTATCATTTGTTTTTTTTGGTAAACAATTTTTGGTATTTTTGTATTGGAGGGGATTTTATGTGTCGGATTCATTAGAATCATCACTACCGGGCGGTATGGTCGGTGTCTCATAATCGTAATAGACCGGATAACGCGGCTTAAAGGGCTCACTTGTGGTAACATCAGCCTGAGCGGACAAAATGCTGCTCATGCTAACGTTGGTCAAGAACTCAGTATCGTCGCTGAATTTCTCACTCAGAGCCATGGCATCTTCGTACGAGGGCGGCACTGAAAAATAAGGGATTGTTATTAAAGCCAACTTGACTTAGGGTGAAAATGCCATTACAGATGAATATTCCAGTCATAAGTTTGAACGATTTAAATTAAATGAATTATTCATTTTAACACAGGCATGAGTTTCGTTTTTGGTCGTATTATAAAAACAATAGGCAAAATGTTATTTAAGTTAATACGTAGTCTTTTAAAATTGATTGGCCTTATAAACAAGGCAAAATTATTGCATAAACATGATTTTAATTATTCGTTGAATATTTTATTTATTACAAAGGAATTGATTTTAATAGTTTTTCAGAAATGATCTTTTTGCAAGTATAGTTTTAGTTATATCCATCTGAGATGGCGAATAGGGTCTTACTCATCGGTATATAGTCCGGGGGATTATCGCTATCGCTGGTCACCAGTATCGCTGGCATGCCCGTGGGCCTGAGGGCGGCAGTTGTTGGCGTTGATGAGGGCGTGGAGCTCGTGGGCGTGGGACTGGCATTCACTATCATATTCATATTGCTATTGGTCGGCAGTAGTCCGCCCACAAGGCGTCCATGATTGTTGTTGTTGATGTTGCTGAGACGTCGCTGCTGAACTGAGGCACTTGTCCGGTCCCGATCCCTATCCCGATCTCTATCCATATTCAGATCCCTATCCCTTTGACGCTGTCGCTGCTGCGTGGATATTTGTAAATGTTGACTAACTACTTGGTGCTGTTGCTGCTGGCGATTGAATCGCAGCAGGGCCTCCGGACCGTCCATGATCGGAATGCTGCCGATGGTCAGCGGGATCTTCAGCTTCAGCTTCCAGTGGAACTCCGTGGGATTCACGATGATCTTAATCGAATAGTTAACGCTAATGGGGCACGTGGGCTTCACCGAAGTGGGCGGTATCGAGGGCAGGTCCAGGTACCCCCGGTACACCTTCCTCGACCATCTCAGCACGTTTCCGAACTGCTTGCGGGCGATCAGGTGCTTGTCGTAGCGGTACTCGTGCTGCGGATCGTGCGACTCGTAGCTGACCTCCTGCTTCAACTTGACCTCGCACTCGGTGATGTCGATCGAGGACTCGTTGTTGATGTACAGAACGAAGTTTATCTTCTGGCCGGGTGCATAGCCGCAGTAGGGTGTCGAGAACTTCACAGTCAGCGGACCCGTGGGACAGCAGAAGCTCCAGAAGCGCTTACGATCGAGGATCTCCAGTGGAACCTAGAAAAGACAAGGGGTTAGTTAAGTTCTGACTAAATCAAGGTGTACGTTTCTCTATGAACAGGTAATCGTTTATAGGAATTGCGTTGCTATCCATTTAATTTTTAATGTTTAAGCTTAATAAAATGTTTAGTTTCCAGTAAGGTTTTTGTTTATCTTAAGCTACGAACAGACGATCAAATTTGTATCTATAAAATTAAATATTTATGTTAGCTATTACTTTTTGAAGATAATAGTTAAGAATCTTACAATCAGCCTTGTACTAAAATATTGAACATTACTAAAATGTTGAAAGAATTTTATAAATGACTTACTAAACTTTTTTTTTAACTTACTAAATTAGTTAAAATTCAAAATTGAATATTCTATGTTCTTGTAAAGATTATTTTTACCCACCCTGTAAATAGCATCGGCATTCAAGTCCAGCGGCTGTATCACGGTAAATGGCAGCTTGAAGACCTTAGGGTAGCGGCCGGCCCGCTCGATGGTCGTTATGATCTCGTAGTGGATCTGGCCATACTTGCCGTCGAAGGACGTGGGCAGATTGTCGGGCAGAATGACGTGGAATGTGTAGGAGTACTCGCCGGCCGGCCAGTCGATGCTCGAGTTGCTCGCGCAGGATCCGAGGACGTAGGACCGCGAGGACAGGTACGATCGGTAGGCACGGCACATGGCGCGCTCGCTGTCGCGCGGATATCCCTTTTTTATCCAGCGTATCTTGGCATAGCCGCTGACGGTGACGTGGATGCCTGCAAGAGGATGCCCCACACCGCCCGCTGTGACTAAGGATTGCCAAATTGAATTGGAAGTTGCGAGAGGTCATACACTCAAAATGGTCTCTTATTTTACTTCAATTAGAATTTGTTTTTTTTGGGACCCCTATTTGTTCAGTTTTGGAGTGATTCTTTTAAAATCCCTAGTTCATAGCTTCAATTCTAAAATTAATTCCAATGGCAAACCGTTGTGGTATGACCCTAACCTATAGCAAATGATAAAAAATATTGTCGTCTCGTTGGATATACAATTAAAATATTATTTAAAAATTAATTCACATCTATATAATTCAAGAACAACGATTCTCTTAAAAGTTCTAGTACAAGCTATGGGATGTTGTGGTCTGATGCGAACTAGATTAAGTTTCCACTTCAGGTCAGACTATCATGAATAAATAAAGCAAAGCGATTATTTTCCGAGTGCAGTTTCATTTTCCAAAAAAAAACTACAAGTAACCACGCCTTTAACGAGTTCATGGATAAATGAAAATGGCGGAATGCCAAGAGCAGCACAACAACTGCAGAATTGTCACAACAGCCACATATTTTTGCTGGGAGGGGGGGGAGTAGGGGCCAGGGGCAACGATTAATAGCAGGGCACGTTCAAAACCCCGTCCGTGGGGAGATACATTTTAATATTGCCATTAGCTGGTGTCCTTCGTGCATTTAAATGCACCGAAATGCCGCGTGACCGCATCGCTCATACGCCCCGTGAGTCATGGGCGGCACTTTCGTAGTATACATTCGAGGGCTCACCTTTGATGCGCTTCGTGGCGTCGACGCTGAGATCAACAACGCCGGATAGCTCCTGTCCGGCATAGTAGACACCTTGTGGATTGTTATCGAATGATATAAGGCACTCAATGGGCATATATTGCTATATGGTGGTCGTGTCTGTCTGTGTGTGTTCCTCCTGTCCGCCTGTGTGTGAGTGTGTGTCTGTGTCGGTGTGGGTTACTTTGGACTGTGCAAAAAGCAGGCCACAGTTGTAAAAATATCACTTTTCCCTTGTCGGCTGGAGAGTATGAATCGAAGTACTTGGGAAATGGGCTGGTTCGTTCATTTGCTATTCGCTATTTGCTATCAAGCCATTTGCACTTTTCCCTTGTCGCCTTTGTGGCACTCGCACTGCATTTTCTCGGCACCCAGCGGCCCACACACATGCACACGGAAAATTCGGGTAGCGTTTCCACGAGCCACCTCAAAAGGCTTTCCGCCGTAACCTACTTTCGCTGCACGCACTCGAGGGGCAATCACTTATGGAAATTTTCGGTTGTATTCGCAACAGTAACGCGCCGCGGAGTATTAACTATATCTATCTGGTGTTTTCCTGCGGCCCCTTTGTTTATCCGTCTGGCTGTCCCTATGTTTTCTGGCTGGGCTCCCTTCTCTTAACGCTTCGATTCAATGCGCTCGCAGCTCACAGCAAACACGTCCAGCAGCCGTTCCGTTTGGTTTTGCTCTGTTCTGCCCGCATGTCATCATCGCCATCATGCAAAAAGTGAGTAAAGTGCGGCGAATTCAGCAGGCTACTTCTCTCTCTGTTCTCTCTTAAAGGACATTTGGCTTAAGGACTAAGAGAGCAATTACTTTGGCGGCGAATTCAATAAACTCACAATAAATTCAATAACAATAATAAACAAACATTTTTCGCATTTCACTGGATTTTCTTTTCACAGTAGCAGAGTTTACAAGGCAATAACAATTTGTTATTCCAATTTACAAATATTCAGTAATATTGAAATTTAAATTAATAATATTTAGCGTCTCCTTTAGTCCGTTGCGACTCAAAAATAACGCTCCAACATAAAAAAAAGGCAAAACTGTATGATAGCATTCAGAAATAAAACTCAAAGTGCTTATGAAGAAATTGCTGCCGGAGATGTTAATTTTAAAATCATTTACATGCTAAAAAAAATGAAATATTTTTGAATCAAGGCGCCATGTGTTCTTCCTCTTTATGAAAATGAGTCATATTTTTTCTGATCTAGTAACACCAACCTCGTCTTTCTCTTGGTTTGGCATAACCGAATTTTAAATTCTTAATTAATGTGTAATTAATTTAATTTAAATACGATTTACGAGCTAAAAAAAATGAAATATTTTTGAATCAAGGCGCCATGTGTTCTTCCTCTTCATGAAAATGAGCCATATTTTTTCTGATCTAGTAACACCAACCTCGTCTTTCTCTTGGTTTGGCATAACCGAATTTTAAATTCTTAATTAATGTGTAATTAATTTAATTTAAATAATTTTAATTTCTGAGAAATTTTAAAATATGGTTTGGGTTCTGTCTATTTCGTCAAATTAGCGGGTGGTAGAAGAAATAATTAAGCGCGTACTTTTTGACATTACATTTGGCGAGTCAGTGGCGGCACCTGCCGAGAAAATTGTTCAGTCATCAGTGGCGACACCTTTTGTCAATATCGGACAACCTTATGTGGAGCCACCTGGCGGTAAAATTAAATGTAAGTCATATTAGCGCCCTCTACCGTAGATTTCCTCAAACAAAATACTGAATTTTTAGTATTTTTGTTCAATTTTTGTAGGTATGGCAGCTCTACCAAAAAAAGCATATTTTCTAACAGAAATGTTAAAATGTAACACTTTCTAACAGAGAAAAATTCTCTGCCGCTGTTAGAAAGCGTTATCTTAACATTTATCGATAAATAACTATTTGAAAATTGAGAAAACCAATAAGGTGTCCGAACTCTCTTTTAACCAAAGCCGTTTGATATTTGTATCTTTTATGCGGTATCATTTGTTTTGATCTCGCACACTGTGTTGAACCACGCTCGGTACACCTATTGAAATGTTCACGCATACACTCAATGCTGAACGAAAAATCAAAACGTTGATTTTACAAATCACTAGGGTTTTGAAATCACTTTTAAATGTAACTTTATGTGCCCAAAAGTATGAAGTGAATGCAGGATAGTCGCTTTGCTAAATTATTTCATTGATCTAAGGAATTTAATATATATAACAGCACACTTTTAGACGTCTAAAACTAAATTTCAAAAATTATTTCAAAACGCTTGTCATGTGTGTCGCACCGCCAATTATTTTATAGGAATTTACTGGAATAATAAACTTGCGCAGAATCAAAGGATTTGAATGTGCATATTAAATTTCAAAATAAAAATTTCTAATATTTCAGGACATCGACTCGACTTGGGATCCCGACCAAAAATATTTGTCCTTTGTACGAGTACTATCCTTTTAGTCAACGAGTAACAGGTATAATAACACAATAAAATATTTGAATTAGTGTTTAATGTGTAATTTACACCAAATATTAATGAAAATAGTTGATTCCCGTATAATTCAGTTATTCCTTTTCGTCGGAATAACTGAATGATTGAGAGTTTTCAGAAAGTGGTCTTTCAGAAAGAAATTCTACACAACGGCCCGAGTCGAGGATGTAGTAGGAGTAGAAGACCTTTAAGTACGCCTCATCAATATCGTCCACCTACAAGAAACAAATTGTAAATGGCCGTGGGCTGATTTATTATCATTACTACTTACATGAAAATTCGGGAAAGGGGAATGTTCAATTATAAAAAGTTGTAACGGCTCCTGTAGTAAAGGATCTCTTGAGGTTCTTAGAATTTTGTAAATGTTGCTCGCGAGGTTTGTAGCCACTCCGTCTCCTACGAATGTGGCGCACTGGAGGTTTTGACACGATTTGAAAACCGGAAACACGCTTTCAATATGTACCCTCTCCCAAAAAGGACGAACTATACGGAGTGATTGAAGTTCAAGTAGTTGGTCTAGGTCATTGAAGTTATTGCATACTCTTTCGTACAACATATTTAGTTTTTTTAATGACTTAATTCGCCATATTTCACGGATATCATCACAACATAAATTTGTTAATGCATGTAGTTCTTGTAACTTTGACTCACTTTTGAGAGCAAAAGCTCGGAAAAGTTCAGTCAGAGATCCTTTGGCACCATTAATAATTAATTCTTGTAGGTTTTTTATATTTGCCAAAACTTCTACGCCCGGCTCATCGCGCAAATAGCATTTCAAGGACTCCAATTTTTCAAGTTCTACAAAATAATTGCATTCATTAAAGCCAATAGGGAAGTTTAATTCCAATTTCTTAAGAGTCGAAGGCAGTGATTTTAGTGTAACAGTATTCAATATGTTTATACAAATATTTAAATCATCATCATAAAAGCTATCGATGGCTAGGTTCTGCAAGTTTGGAAATTGATTTAACATTGGCGCACACACCAAATTAAAATACTTGACACGTAGACTTTTGAGACATTTTAGTTCCATAGTATTAGCTGTTCGTGAGATGTTGAATTTGTGCACTTGAAGGTGCTGAAGACTAGTATTACTATTTGAAGAAAATGCATAAAGAAATTCTTGTAGAGAGAGCCTCGGTGAGTCAAAAATTATTTCTTCAATACACGTATTAGCGAGCTCTGTAAAGGACTGTAAGTTGAAAATACCGGAGGATAGGCATACCAGTTTTCTTAATGACCTTATTCGGGAAACCTGCGAGACAATTTTGGGATTCAGATGTTCACAAGAAATGCACCGAGTGATATTCTTTTCAGCCATTTTTGTAAAAAGAGGGACAAGGTCCCGTCCTGAAATTTGTAACTCCTCGAGATTATTCAGTTCGGCCAATTTCTCAATACCAGCAGTGTCGCGAAGAGAGCATTTCAGTTTTCTAATGCTTTTAATTTCTGCAACTTTGGAAATGTCTTTAAAGCTGGGCATCCTATAATATAAATTAATATCCATTACTTGGAGTGTACTTGAATTGTTGGTGGCAAAGGCTTCGAAAAACGAATTAAGGGTTTCGGGACCCAAATTCCCTGAGATCTGAAGGGTGTTAACGTTATTAAGTTGAGCCAGGAAACTCAGAGTGTTGGCCTGGCAATCTTCTTTCATTTCAATAGTTAGTTCATCCCTTTTTAAGGTAATACAAAATCGGTTGCACATTATAGTAGCTTGCACCTGACAAGCAGTTAGTAGATCAAAAACTAATTTTGAGTTAAAAGAATCAATAGAATCGCGAACATTAATCACCAAGTGTTGTAGGTTGGGTAATTCATTTAAAAACATAATTGAGTTCCAATTCCAGACATGGCACCCCAGAAACCGAATTGACTCTATTTTGGCTAGTTCCTTCGTCTCTAATTGACCTATTGAACCATAGTGAATTTTGCAGGACTTCAAAGAAAACGACCCCTTAGGAACCATTGACCGAAGGAATTTTGCAATTGATTCGGGATGACTAGAATCAGTACATCTATTGCGAATGACCAGGCGATTTAGATTAGGTAGCTTTGATAAAGAACCCAATTCACTAATGTCGGATTCATAATGTATCTTTAGCTCCAGTTCTTCCTTTTTTCTGTCAAACACTATTTTGACGTCTTGAACCTCAGGTATAGTTATGAGAGATTCCTCTATTAAACTGTCGTCTCTTGACATTTTACTTAAATCGTATTCAATTTTTATAAATTCATCAGCATAAAAGGAAAAATGTTTTTCAAAATATTGTAATGATTCCAAGGCAGCAAAAGTAACGCACTGACTTTTATATTTGCTTTTGCTTGGATAATCTTCAATGGTCAGGATCAATGGTTGCAGACTTCTAGGTCTGTGCCATTTTGTTAAACCTTTAAAGAATTGCATCTGCGAACCGCTGTCTTGGATTCCAGTGATGATAAAGTTTTTTAAATTGGGCAATTGTGCTAACTGTGTATATTGGGCAGTCCCGTCTTCCGGGTCGAACTTTATTTTTAGTTCTTCAAGATTTTCGCAATGCGCTGCTATATTGGAAACACTTCCATCGATTAGGTTGCCTTCGAAGGCCAACTTTCTCATATTTGGGTTCAGGATACAGATGTCAGAAAACGCGTCTGCAGGAATGTTGCCGTCTAGCTTTACCATTTCGGCGCTTGTAAAATTCGATGAGATGCCTTTGATACAGAAAAACGAATAATATACATATGATTAATTATTTAAAATATATATTTTAAATCCAGAGCATTCTTTCGTCAAAACCGAAATAAATATTTAACGCTATCTTCGAATGTCTAGACTATCAGATACCCGTTACATAGTTTTCCGACTTCAAAATAAAATTACAGGAATTTTAAAAGATGTGGCATTATGGGCGAGTGTCTCGCCCATACTGCCTCTCTCGCTGAAACGAACATTACCTGCGCAGGAGTCCCTTGAATCGGTGTTCTTAGTCCCGACTTTTTTACTTTTACAGTTCTCTTCTAAATACTCTAAAATGAGATCAGGACTTACCTGTTATATTTATTTTTAGATGTGCGTGATCCTTTTCGTTGTTATGCTTGTCAACAGAAAGTTCAACGTTGAAGGGACTTTTTTCTCTGATTGACTGTAGACAGGATTCCCAGAAACATTTATTTTCTTTGCAAGACGGTTTTTTGATGCGCAGATCTATCAGCAGCTTTGTGATTCTGCATGCCATAGCCAACTCCAGTTCTTCATACAAACGTTTGTAATGGACCGCAAGCAATTCGAAAAAACATTCATGGGTCAGCACAAAGTTGATTAAATCATTATATCTCGAAGAGGGTTCCTCGACATTTTGGTCTTTTAAGTTGCATTCAGTTATTATGTATTTCATAATCTCCAAAAGGCAGTCGAGGTTTAGAATTAATTTGCCGTTTTCGTCCATTTCGTTGAGTTTACAATTAATCACCAATGCTTAAATCGAGCTTTTTGAGACCAGCGGATGCTAAATGAAAATATAAAATGATTTAGTTGAGCATAACATTTGCTTTTTTGATAAGGGCATATCAAATGGAAACCGTTCTATTGAACTACATCTTAAATTTTTAAATGATAATTTATAATGAGGTATATAATACTGTTAAATATAAACTAATTACAAACATGTGTATAACCATACTCTCCAAAGAAAGCTGAGCTTCTAAAAAGAAAGTGAAGTTTGTATGTACATCTGAAAAATATGCATTTAGGTACAATACAACTTTCACAAAACGGATGTAAAACTACTACATGTCAAATTAAAAAAAAAAGGATTTAGGTATATTTATCTAAGAATTTAAAATTTATGTTTTCTTATTTGTTATTGTTTGTTTCCGGCTAAAAATTTGAGCTCAGTAAGCTCGGTTGCGCTTTTTCTAAGAAAAGAATAAGTATGTATATAAAAACAAGGAAGAACGCTATAGTCGAGTACCTCGGCTATCAGATACCCGTTACTCAGCTATTTGGAGATATGCAAGCAGCAAAGCGAGATTAAAATGCGCCACCTACCGGCGGTATACAGATTTAAGCGTTATGGGCGTTAGAGTGGGCTCAATCGATAGGTATCGACGAGACCAATACATTTCAGTTAAAATTTTGTATCTAGCATGAAAATTGTGGGCGTCACAGGTTTTTGCGGTTTGTGGGCGTGGCAAACTTTTTTTTGGATCAATCGATAGGTATTGATGAGAACAATACATTTCAGCTAAAATTTTTATTCTAGTATCAAAACTGTAGGAGCCACAGTTTTGGGCGGTTTGTGGGCGTTAGAGTGGGCGTGGCACTGTGCTGAAACGAACTTGCGCTGCGTAAGAAGCTCAGGAATCTGCACGCCAAATCTCAATAGCCTAGCTCCCATAGTTTCCGAGATCTCAGCGTTCATCCGGACGGACAGACAGACGGACAGACGGACAGAAGGACATGGCTAGATCGACTCGGCTAGTGATCCTGATCAAGAATATATATACTTTGTGGGGTCGGAAACGCTTCTGCCTGTTACATACTTTCCGACGAATCTAGTATACCCTTTTACTCTACGAGTAACGGGTATAAATACATTATACAAACTGACTGATAGCCAAATTTCATGCTTTGTGGAAAATATGTGTGTTTATGAGTCAAACAAAATACCTTTAAAAAATTAGTAAAATTTCACTCTTTAAGCACTAAAATTTAAAACTTTTTAATTAAACCAAGCTGTTTTTTGGTTAGCGGTGAGTCTTAAGACCCGCCGAATTCTAAAGCTTTTTCCAAGAAGTTATAACTTATTATACTCTTGCAGAGGGTATTCTTAATTTGGTCAGAAGTTTACAAAATTTGCGACTTCATAAATTGTAGAAGTATATTTATTATTGATCAGCATCACTAAACTAGGCATGTCCCTCCGTCAGTCCGATTCTACTCACTTTAAAATGCATAATAATCTTTAGTCTGTTTGAATATCCTTTTGCAATGATTTTTTTTATAAACCCGCGTTTTATGGTCTCATGAAAATTGCTAAAAGAAAATATGCGTAGAAATTCCACCGAATACAACAATATTTCAATTTGCTGCCACTTTTGTGAAGTTCAAGTTGCGATCTTATTTTGCGTTTGTTTGTTTATGTTTACGTTTGTGATGGAAGTGCCACAATCCCGAGGATCGATAGCTGGGGTAGGGCGATGGGGATTTATATACTAAAAGTGACTTTTTTAATTCAGTATTTTCTTTAAATTTAGGTAATTTCTGTACATGGCGTGATGGGCTTTCTTTGAGAAGATGCATTTTGGCTCCAAAAAAAGATGTCTTATAACAGTCTTTTCAACGAGAGCGGGGGCTATCACTTTGTCAGGCAATGGCCGACCTATGGCTAGTATCCTTAATATTAAATTATACCCGTTGCGTTGAGTATCTATATACTATACTTTAGTATTTGGCGCTGCGCATCGAAAAATAAACTAGTTCAAAGGAGTGATGCGAAATAAACCTTTTTCCGTCAATTCAAGTTTTTTCAAGAAAGGTAATTTTTTGGATTTTTATTTAGCTTCTTTCCCCTGATTTTATACCGAAAGCTTATAACTTTTTTACTACACAACGCTTCTAGTAAATAAGTGACATAATTAATGTCAAATCCATGTTTCTTTAGCTATAGCTGCATTTGGATATTTTTTCTAGCCAAAAGTTGGCATCACTGACTCCAAACAGCTGTTTTTGCGAATGTTATTCCCACAGAATTTTCTGAATTGCCGGCGCTAGATAACGATTTCAGCAGCAGATTAGCTCCAAACTGACCTTCAATAAGTACGTGTTTTGTGACCAGTGCAGGTGCAACTAATCAGTAGATAAACCCCATAAAACAGTGAAGTTTCTGCAGACAATTCGCAGGATGAGCCAAGGAACTTCGGAGGCGGTGCCGCTGTCGGGTGAATATTTTCATTGATTTAAATGGATTTTGATAATCATCCATGAATGTCTCATACTAGCACTTCGCCTAAAGTACCATGAACGCAAGGACGCCTTTCTGGAGGACAATATCAAGGTGAAGAATCCGTTCTGCGTGTTCCGTGATTGGTTGGAGTTGGCCCTGAAAACACCGGAGATTCTGGAGCCCAATGCCGCCGCCTTGGCCACCGTGAGCGCTGAAGGCAAGCCCTCCAATCGCTATGTGCTGGTCAAGGAAGCCACCGCCGAGGGATTCACCTTCTTTACCAACTACGGAAGTCGCAAGGCCGACGAGATCAAGTCCAATCCCAATGTGGCCATATCCTTCTACTGGCTGCCTTTGCGACGAAGTGTCCGCATCGAGGGCGTGGCCGAGAAGATCTCGCCGGAGGACTCCCTCAAGTACTTTCACCAGCGACCCAGGGCCAGTCAAATTGGAGCCGCTGCCAGTCCGCAAAGTCAGCGAATCCCATCGCGGAGCTACTTGGATGAGGTAGAGGCGGGAATCAAGGCGCAACTGGGTCCCGATGGAGAGGTTCCACTGCCAAACTGGGGCGGCTATCTGGTGCGTCCCGACCTCATTGAATTCTGGCAAGGTCAGACCGATCGCCTCCACGACCGCATCCGCTTCAGACGAGGTGCTGGAGTGGAAATTGAGGTCGACGGTAAACTGGTCCACAAGGGTGAGGAAGGCTGGGTCTACGAGCGGCTGGCTCCCTAAGCACAGAGAACTGGAGATCAGCAACAGATGCATTGAGAATGTCTTCCAAACGTAGTTAATATGTGTAGGGAATTGGAGATATATTAAAATTTATTTGTGAATAAAACTCAAACCACAAGTTTTTGCTGGATATATCAACTTAAATAATCAATCTAAAACTCAATCTCTCTCAGTTCCACACTACAAAGAATTCCATTAAATATTTTAATAATGTAATGTCGTTTAAGCAAGGAAAATGGCTTATACATATTATGTACCTCCAATTTGTCCATGGACAGGAATAATAACAAGAAAGGAAGTTAGCTTCGGCATGCCGAAGCTTATATACCTTTGCAGCTATAATTATTAAATTTAAAAACTCAAAAAATGATATTCCCAATAGTATAAGATAATATGTTAAAAAATACCGATGCTATAATTTGTTTCATATTATTTTCCTACCAATTTTCCGATTGTTCCTATGGCAGCTATATGATATAGTCGTCCGATTTTGATAAAATTAAATTCCAAATTCAGAACTAATTAAAAAATGTTATTTCCAAGCGTTGGAGGTTATATGTTGAAAAACACCGAAGCTATAATTTTCCGATCGTTCCTATGGCAGCTATATGATATAGTCGTCCGATTTCGATAAAATTAAATTCAAAATTCAAAACTAATTAAAAAATGTTATTTCCAAGCTTAGGAGGTTATATGCTAAAAAACACCAAAGATATAGTTTGTTTCATATTATTTTCCCACCAATTTTCCGATCGTTCCTATGGCAGCAATATGATATAGTCGTCCGATTTCGATAAAATTAAATTCAAAATTCAAAACTAATTAAAAAATGTTATTTCCAAGCGTAGGAGGTTATATGTTAAGGAACACCGAAGCTATAATTTGTTTCATATTATTTTCCCACCAATTTTACGATCGTTCCTATGGCAGCTATATAATATAGTCTTCCGATTTTGATAAAATTTAATTCGAAATTCAAAACTAATTAAAAAATGTTATTTCCAAGGAAAGGAGGTAATATGTTAAAAACACCAAAGATATAACTTTTTAACATTTTTTTTTCCGATTATTCCTATGGGAGCTATAAGATATAGTTGTCCGATCCGGCTGGTTCCGACTTATATACTACCTGCAAAAGATATAAGACTTTTGGGAAAGTTTCAGCCCGATAGCTTTAAAACTGAGAGACTAGTTTGCGTAGAAACAGACGGACAGACACACAGACGGACATGGCTAGATCGACTCGTCTAGTGTGCTGATCAAGAATATATATACTTTATGGGGTCAGAAACGACTCCTTCACTGCGTTGCAAACTTCTGACTGAAATCATTATACCCTCTGCAAGTGTATAAAAATGTTTTACTGCGAATTATACCAGATTTGTATGACAATTGCAGGTGTAATAAGATTCTTTGATATTTTCTTTCCACTTCATGTCGACATCATATTGGGAAGATTTTCTTTTTTTAAAAAAGTAAAAAGTTAAACTAGTAGGAAGTTGATATATTGTCAATTCCGAATGCATTATAAATTGAATAACAAATTGTAAGGCATCTTAACGCTATGTCGTCCGTTTTAGTACAAAAGGTTTGGACCACGCTTTGGTCGGCAGGATCTATAAGCCGCTTTCGGCTGCACGTGAGCCATGTTTCCCATCAGGTGAACCACGTAGCCAGCGAGGAGCAGCGCATCTACGACGAGCCCTACGTGATCTTCCAGAACTGGTTGATAGCCGCCCAGAGAGAGGCGCCTCAAGTGCGACCGCGACTTGCCTGCATGGCCACTGTGGACAAGTCCGGCGAGCCTGTGACCCGTTTGACCAGCATCGAGGAGGTGAGCGCCAACGGAATCACCTTCTTCACGACCCTGGGCAGTCGGCAGGCGGGCGAGATAAGCGCCAACCCGCACGTATCGCTGCACTTCAACTGGGCGCCCCTCATGCGCAGTGTCCGGATTGCAGGATCCGCCCACCAGCTGACCGAGGAGCAGGCTCTGGATCAGTTCCGCCGGTACCCGCGTCACGTACAGATGTGCATCACCCACGGACCACGATATGCGGCGGCCGACTGGCAGTCCCGGTCAGGATTATTTGCGCGGATCGTACAGCGCCTAAACACCTGGCTAGGCAAGCATCCGGAGGAGATCCAAATGCCACCGAATTGGGGAGGATACCTCCTGACGCCCAGTCTCTTCGAATTCGGCATGCTTAGCGGACAAAAGGCCGGGAGGACTCGGGTGCGATTCCGTCGCTGCCTTGAAATGCCCAGGGTAAGTATTTATACCCTTGCAGATGGTATTATAATTGTAGTCAGAAGTTTGCAACGCAGTGAAGTAGAGGTTACCGACACTATGAAATACATATATATATATATTTAGTCATCAACAGCCAAAATCCATTCCGTTCTTTTCTACACAAGGTAGTCTATAAGTTCTGAATTCTTCTGCATGAAGCTTTCCCTTCCCTTACCCTTTTCTTTCTATTGTAGGTCGTATTAAAGTCAGTTCCGGCCTAGTCCGACGATCCAATAGCTCCAATAGGAATAAACGGAAAATAATAAACTTTTCATTAAAAATAACTCCCAACATAATTTTTGCTGTCCTATGCACAACCACTAAAAAATTCAGATCTTTTATAAATTAAAACAAGGAAGAACGCTATAGTCGAGTACCTCGACTATCAGATACCCGTTACTCAGCTAAATAGGGATATGCAAGTAGCAAAGCGAGATTAAAATGCGCCACCTACCGGCGGTATACAGATTTAAGCGTTATGGGCGTTAGAGTGGGCGTGGCAAATTTTTTTTTGGACCAATCGATAGGTATTGACAAGACCAATACATTTCAGTTAAATTTGTTTATCTAGCATGAAAATTGTGGGCGTCACAGGTTTTCGCGGTTTGTGGGCGGTAAAGTGGGCCTGGCAAACTTTTTTTTGGGTCAATCGATAGGTATTGATGAGAACAATACATTTCAGTTAAAATTTTCTATCTAGCATCAAAACTGTATGAGCCACAGTTTTGGGCGGTTTGTGGGCGTTAGAGTGGGCGTGGCACTCTACTGAAACAAACTTGCGCTGCGCAGGAATCTCAGGAATCTGCGTGCCTAATCCCAGTATTGTAACTCTCATAGTTTCCGAGATCTCAGCGTTCATACGGACAGACGGACAGACGGACAGACGGACATGGCTAGATCGACTCGGCTAGTGATCCTGATCAAGAATATATATACTTTATGGGGTCGGAAACGCTTCCTTCTGCCTGTTACATACTTTCCGACGAATCTAGTATACCCTTTTACTCTACGAGTAACCGGTATAAAAAAATGTAATAAAACTACAATCAAATTTTATATCTTCAAGTGGCAGCTGAAGCATATTTCTTATTTCACGTGATTAAATTCTTGAAAGTAACGGTCGGTGTCCTCAGCCTTTGCCGGCACACGTGCAGCGCACAGCGGTTGACACACACAAATCTATGAGCTGCCCCGTGCAAATTACTCACACAATTAAGAATCAAAATGTCATCTTAATGATTGCCGACCGCTGCTTTAAAATAATAGTTTTAAACAGTTTGTTTCAGTCCACTATTTCAAGTGGCCTATCTGTAAAGACTTTAAAACAAATACAACTTTAATGCTGTATTGTATATCGCATCGCTCAATTAGTTCGCGGCCCGACATATAAGGAGCAGTAGTAAGCAAATATAGATATTTTTTATTGAAAGTGTCGATTATCATAAGCTCTGTGTAAAAATTATACAACTCTGTGACCACGTGCTTTTAAGTTACAAATTTTTAAGTAATACAACCTTTGGGTTTTTCTACAATATGGAAAAAAAGGAGTTTCGTGTCCTTATTAAGCACTGTTTTTTTATAGGAAAAAATACAGTAGAAGCAAAAGCTTGGCTTGATAAACATTACCCAGATTCTTCTCCGGGAAAATCAACCATCAAAGATTGGTACAATGAATTTAAACGTGGTCGTGTGGACACCAAAGACGCTGAACGCAGTGGTCGCCCAAAAACAGCAGTTACGCCAGAAAATGTGGCAAAAATCCGAAAAATGGTATTGTCCGATCGCAAATTGAAATTAAAGGAGATAGCTGATGCCTCAAAGATATCGGAAGGCAGTGTGTTTACGATATTACATGAACATTTGGACATGAGAAAGCTCTGCTCGAAGTGGGTGCCGCGATTGCTAACACCGGACCAAAAGCAACAACGCATCGATGCTTCCGAGACGTGTTTAAGCATGTTGAAGCGCAATAGGACCGATTTTTTTCGCCGTTACGTAACCATGGATGAAACCTGGATACACCACTATACTCCAGAATCCAGTCGTCAGTCTTCTGAGTGGGTGGTAGCCGGTGAAAGCCGTCCGAAGCGTCCCAAAACACAAATATCGGCGGGTAAGGTTATGGCTTCTGTATTTTAAGATGCACATGGGATTTTATTTATAGACTACCTGGAAAAAGGTAAAACAATAAACAGCGAATATTATATAAAGCTGCTGGATCGATTGGATCGCATTATCAAGGAAAAACGTCCACATATGGCCAAGAAGAAACCACTGTTTCACCAGGATAATGCACCATGCCACAAGTCTATGGCAACAATGGTGAAATTGAGTGAATTGAGGTTCGAACTTCTGCCGCACCCACCTTATTCTCCAGATATGGCCCCCAGTGACTACTGGCTTTTTTCAGATCTCAAAAAGCACCTCCAAGGCAAGAGATATCGATCAAATGAAGAGGTGATTGTCGATACTGAGACCTATTTTGAGGGTAAAAGTTCATCTTTCTACAAAAATGGCATAGAAAGGTTGGAGAAGCGCTGGACTGAGTGTATAGCCGTAGATGCAAACTATATTGATGTATAAAACAAAATTTTCAAAAAAAAAAAGTGTTTTTCCTTGTTAGGCCGGGAACTTATTGAGCGGTCTGATATATGAAGTTTCATTCGAAGCTCGAAATTGAATATTCTGAGAACTAAATTGCAAGGTTCTGTTATGGCTTCCATTCAATTAAATTTATTTTTCTAATTTTTTGCAGGGAACAAGAGTTGGTAACATTCAAGCAGAGAGACAGGATTGGGTCTATGATTCGTGTGAGGAAAATTAGCATGTCGATTCCTTACGATCTAGTCCGGCTTTAATTTTCTCTCGATATTATCACCGTGTAGTCCCTTAATCATATTCAAGGCCATCCCGTTAAGCGCTCCGTTCCATTCCTCAACAAATTTGAAGTCAATTAAATTAATTGTTAAATCTGTACCGCTTCCATGAACTTCAATTACAGAAAATATGGTAATCAATAAAATTAAAAGTGTTAATACTTTAATTACATGAATATGAATAGGGTTCCATAAAAATGAAATGTAAAAAACAAAAACATATTTAGCACAATTATTTAGTGTGTGTATACAAATTGACCTAGGTTTGAGAAATGCCCACTCTAAAATGTATGCTACATATTTATGAATTGTAATGTGTGGGAGTCAGAATTTTCGGCCAAGTTGGCATTCCTAGTTAAGACATTACCCATGGTAATTTCCTGTAATTTTTGAATAATCTTGCCGCATATCGATAAAATATGTAATCAGTTTCGTAATAATTTAACGTAAACAAAATATCCATTTCTTTTCCTATTTGATAATCTTGTACTGACACTCGATCATATAGAGAGTCTTTTGGCGTAAAGAACGCTTAGTCCTAAGGCTTTAGTGTTAGGATTTGTAGTATTAAGAACCATGAACCATATTATCGTATTTGCCGTATTAAATGAAATTTAAGATGAATTAATTTGTGATCTTTTGAGGGCACCTTAGAGGATGTAGCGCAGCGGTTGTTTTAAGGGTGGAGTCTAATGAGACTTCACAGGTAGGGTGGGTATAGAAGGTGGCCAATAACATCTGGGTCTCCGTCTTCGATAGGTACAGTCTCTCGTCCGAATCTTAGCCGATGGGCTAAAAATCCTTATCGTTACCGTCTCTCTGTCTACTATTGTTAGTTCTGTGACACTCTTGTTTCATCTTAACACAAACCCACACCCATCTCCCTGAGCAGGCCGGTCAAAGCGTAGACAGAGGTGTTAGGGTGGACAACGCTCATAGAGTGTGTTCGTTACAAATGTTACTGACTGACCCTAACTATTACATTTATCCATTGAGGCAGATCAAATATTTTTTTTGGTATAGTAATTCACTAATTAACAGGATGCAGTTCATCAATATCCCACCCCTTTTCCGAGATATCAAAGGTGTTAACGCGATGGAGAAGCAAATTGATTTCACCTGAGCTGCAAATGAATTACCGTCAAGGGAGCTTATGTCATCAACGCATCGTTGCCAAATTGAATTTAAGTAAAAGCGTTAGTTTCCTCATGTCGGGCCCAATCGCATTTAAAATGCATTAAAAGCACTGCTCGCAGCCGCCTAATTGGATGTCCTTGGGTCCTGGAAAATGCCCACTGCACGTGAGTGTGTGTGGGCACGTAAAAATTTAATAAAATAAATAGGCGAGTGCAGTCGAGCGCAAAGAGTAATGCCCGCCGGGAAATGCGGGATAGATGGATGTGCCGCACGAGGACGAGGGGGGAAGGCGGCCGGGCGGCACTGACAGCAGACAACAAATAGTGAAAGGCAAAGCGCAAGGCCGGAAAAGCACACACCCCCTGCGCCACCCCGCCACCGCACCACCCACTTTTCCAGCCCACTCTACAAATTTGCCTTTGCACTCCTTTGTAATTGTAGCCATCGCTCCACCAGTCGTTCGCTTCCTTCCTCGGTTCGTTTTTTGGCTTTCCTGTTTACTTTCTCCTCGTCTGCGCTGTGTCTTATCCTTCGCCTCTCCGGCGTTTTGTTTTGCTCGTCCTGTTTCGCCCCCTTCGGCTTGTCTCTCGCGGAGGGTGTGTGTGGCTCTCTCTGCTGCTCTCTCGTGGAAAATGCGGAGAGCACGAAAACTTGTTGGCAAGGATAATGAATATTTCTTATTTCGTTGCGTGCAGCTCAGTTGGATAGGATGCCAGGGTTGCCAATGCTTGCGGAGTGAGAACTATTAAAACATGGTATGTATTGGACAATATAATACAAATAAAAAACAAAACAATTATGTTATTTCTTGAAAGTCGTTATTCAATGCAAATATTTTTAAAATTCCTAATACTACGATTTACAAATTTTAAAAACTTAAGTCGTATCCTAAATGTTGATGAAATAAATAATTATTAATATGTAAAATAGGGCATTTTAACTATGTCCCAAAAATACGGTTAGCATTGTAATTTATTTTATTTATTTATTTATTTACCAACAGTTGGTACTTTAACTGGCTACTTGACTATTACTAAGCTAAATACTAAGGGACAAAAGGTAATTATAAAGGGCTTTCTTAATTAAGTCTCTGGGGGAGCATGGGTCCAGCCGTATGTGAGATGGAAGTTTTTTCCAGTAATATAAGGCTCTACATTGTTTTGGAAATTAAAATTAAACAGTTGTGTTTCTTGATTAAGTTCTGGCAATCATAAATCCCTAAATAAAAATAAGTTCACATTTTTTCTGATAGAAAAATATAATCGTAAACTTTAAATAAATTATTTTTAGTTCAATATACTTGTATATACATATATATGTATACAAGCAGGTCACCAAAAATTAAAAAGTTATATATAAATTTTTGAATTTTTATATAAAAATAAATTTGTATTGCTCTGCGTCCTGAATCTATTTTCGCCACCTGGCAACCCTGATCGCCAGCCTGCCGCCTTTCCTTTGGCTTTGGGCCAGGCCCACTCCGCTTTGGGCCACGGCAGTTGACAGCGCACAGTGAGGGTTGCGGTCTCGTTCAGTTCGCCGCGCGGCTCCGGCAGTTTCAGTGTCAGTTTCTGCTTCTGATTCAGACTCGGATTCAGGTTGGGACCCATTCTCAGTTCCGAGCAAACTTCGGCGGGGAGCAGAAGGAGCAGAGCGGAGCAGAGGAGCCCGACCAGGAAATAAAAATAGACAAAATACTGAAACAATAACTCGAGGCGGCGAGCTAGTGTAGAATTTTTTACATATACCATTTCGGGGTAGCGGAAGCAGGAAGTGGCGGAATAATTAAGGACAAAAACGCAATTTCAATTATCGTTAGTGTAATCTTGAGTGTGAATTTAAGTGTGAACTGTGAGTGCTTGGTGTACGGCGATTTTTGCTAGACAATTTGTTTCTCTGAATGTGGTGTACTTTTTCCCATTGCCAATTAGTTAGTGTCGCTTAATCAAATATATGTACATATATAGCTAATTGGACGGTATATACATGTGTTGGTGTGCAAGTATTTTTGCTAAACTTATTAAATTGATATTGAATGTATACTTTTTGAGTGCTCGTGCAATTATTGTAACTTGAATAGGGGAACTTCGACCGCTTTCCAACGACAAAGGACTAGAAATCGGAGTCCTTTTCCCGGAAAAGTGCCAGTGTGTGTGGCCATTGCCTTTGTCCTGCGAATCAGGGGGTGTGTCCGAGGGGCAGTCGGTGAGTCCTTTTACATAAGCAGGGGCGGGCTGCAAATGGGACGGCCACCTGCGGCTACACGGCGGCTACTCAACGCTGGGATCCCTCGCTTTGTCCGCCGCTGAGTGCTGAGTGCTGCGTGTCCTTGCAACGTGACAGCCCGATTGTGTGTGAGGATATGCAAAGAAGTCCCACAGCCCCACAATGGCCCACTTAAAACTGGACACCCTCCACGTGCAGCGCAGTCCCCGCGGCTCCCGCAGGAGCAGTCCGAGCAGCGGAAGGAGCAGCGCCTGCAGTTCCGGGAGCATCTCCCCGGTGCCCATCATCCCGATCATAGCCATCAGCCACGATGGCGACGAGTCAGAGTCCGAGTCGGAAATCGAAACGGAGCCGGCGCGCCTCTTCCAGCGCCGCATGTCCACCAAGTGCACCAACAACCTGGTAGGTACCAGACACCTTTCGCAGTGCACTCCGAAAATATGTGATCCCATTGAAAATTCCATGCATTTTTCATAAGCCCTTTCACTGTGAAATATATTTCGAATAACATGCAGTTATTATAATGGAGATACAAGGGGTTACGACAATGAATATAAAACATTAAGCTTGGAACCCAGTTTTCAGGAACTTTAGAGTTTTGATATTACTTTTCTCTGTTTTTCGATGCTTATTCATTCCTTCATTTATCTTAATAAATTAAAGTAGAAAATATTTTTGGTCGAAACAAGCTAACATAAATTACCATTGGAATAAAATGAAATCATGTACATACACATATAATTTGGATGACCGGACTAAGGCTTATCAAATAAAAGTTCTGGTCGGGATAAAAATGTAGACCCAATTACCTTGCAAGGTCAAAATGTAAGACTTATAGTCTTACATAAGTATCAATAATAGTTTCTGCTGAAATTATTTTTGTTAAATATATACATAACTTTCGATTTCGATCGATTACCGTTTAAGCGTTACTATGATGGAGCGCTACTTGGGGCGAGACACAAACCGGATGTGATTTTTTCTCCGTGTGGCAAGTCCTCCGGCTTTGTCACAGGACCTTCCATGTCGGTGCAACGGAGCGTCCTCGCTAAAGTTTCTGGAGCGGAAGTTGCATGCAAACAGGCAAACGGCAGCGGGGTGGGGTCCCCCTCCCCGCTTTATATGCGAGTTGCGTGTGTCGAGAGTTTATGTTTCAAGTGCCTTAGTGAGCTGCACCACTGCCAAAGGTCACAGGCGCAGGTTAAGAAGTCGGTAAAATATTTTAGTGTCGCTGCTGCATAGGTCAGAGGTCAGAGCAACCACCATTTGGTGATTGCTACGGCTTAGCCGGCGCCCATTTCCATCATCATTTAAGTGCATTATTAAAATGTAATCCGACGCTGTCCATGTAGCCCGAAATTAAATAAAATTGTATCGGCTTGCGAGTCGTGGCGGTCCAGAAAAGGGAAGGCCGTCCGTTCCGTCCTCGAATTTTAATTAAACGTTGCCATAGTTGCCCGGAGGCCAGGTTTCGCGAATAAAATAACCAAAATGCTGGAAAAACGAAAGAAAAGCAAGCCCCAAAACTCCGCGAAGCCAGAAAAAAGCTTCAATTAGGTTCTTTATGGACCTGGTGTCACTATGAAGGGTCCAAGGATCGACCCTCCTTGCAAGTACACCGCGTCGTATGAATAATATTTCCGGGCCAAAGTTGATGCCCGGTTGCTGGCCATTTGATGTTAATTATACGCATCGTTGCACTGACCCTTCCACCGAACCTTGCCCTTTACGAGTATTTTTTCCGCTCGAATTTCGGCTACCGTTTCACCCTCGATTGTCCAACTGCAATTTGTTTCGTTGTTTAAGCGAAGGCATTTGTTATTTCTGATTTATGGCAATCGGGGGCCGAGCAAAACACATTTGCCTGATTGTGACAGACAAGCAACATTCAAGTGCTCCCATGTCGAGAGGGGCGTGGCCCCATAAACAGACATGTGGACTGTAGGTCGGTGTGGGGTTTACACATGTCAAACCGCAAAACAATAAGCGAACGCTAAACAAAAGCGGCTTAGTTCAGGGCTTGATGGCAGCGTTTTGGTTAGCGTGCTGCCACCGCTGAAGGCGGCGACAATAAGACAATAGAAAGGGCCTCAACAGTTGGAACACAGTGCGGGGCAAGCTTCTGGAAACAAGGACCTAGGACTAAGGACTTAGGAACTAACTAATTGCTCGATAACCGATTAGAACCCAAATCTGTCTTTTACAGAAAGCAATTCCAAATTAATTTAGTGGACTTGGACTTCTGTGCCATACCCGTTATAGCTCAAATGCAATGCCTCAAACACAATTTTCAATAGTTTTTATATACTGCTTATACATTCTTGATCAGGATTATTTGCCTAGTCGATATAGCCATGTCCGTCTGTCTGTTCATACGGAGGCTGAAATCTCGGAATCTGTAAAAGCTAGGAAGTTCAAATGCTACTTCTAGAGACAATTGCGCACGGTTTTCCCAGTAAATTTTGTTTAATTTCATTTGTTAATACCTATCTGCACGAAAAAAACTGCCCAAATCGGACAATTAGTTAAAAAGTAATTCAAGTATGTCCGTGTATTAAATGTATTGGAATTAAACAATTTTTAATTGAATTTAGACTAAAATGTAAACTTCGGTGTTTATTCACCTTTATTGAAGGTATATTTATTTTGAAGATGGATAACAGAAGTACGGCTTTATCGTGATCGAGGCGTTTGACTCTATAAAAATGTATTTTTGAATCATTCATTAGTTGTACAAAGAGCGGGAAATTATGTTCGGTTATATAAGAGTGCTGTATTCGTTCCTGAGTACCTCTTGCTTGAGCTTTTAACTTGCTTCAAACCTTTATCAATGTCATTTATTGTATATTATGGATGCTCTATTGGTCTGCTTTTTTATTTAAGAGCTAGTAAATGGCTATGCCTCTTATTTCATCTAACCACCAATTTAAAATTATGTAAACTAAATTTCACCAACCACTTTTCAATCGCTCTGTAATTCGAGACAAAGGGGCACGGTTCTTTCCCCAGATTCGATAAAACTTTTATAAATATAAATGCGATTTTCCTTCGTTACCATATTTTTAGCAGCGACTGTAGTGCTTCTCAGCCATTTAAATCCAACAATAAGTAAGCCTACAGTACAAACAAAGCCAGAAGTCTTGCCAACTCTTGTCCTCTGTCCCATTCCCTGGATCGTCTTCAGTGGGCTGGTGCCGCAATATCCTTGAGTCTGGCTCCCTTTCTTGCCACGTGCTTGAAAAAAGGCTGAATTATTTACGACTATTTACTCAGACGATTGGCCAACTGTTTTGCGGCTCACGTGAGCCATCAAAGGAATTTCTGAATCTAAGGCTAATTTCTTTAATTTAAAGCTGTTTTTCTTGTTTTGAAAGCCTGAAAAGTCGGAGTGGAGTGGATTGCCTAATCCCCATGCATAATGTATTTGCCAGGGTGAAAGAATGAAAAGCCAGGAAAAGTCATGGCTGGGAAGTCCTACGCTATGTTTACTTTACCCGGCTGAGTGAGCAGCAACAGCAAGTCATATTCATATCTATGGACCGGCCTTTTTATTTATCTTGTATCTTTTTACCTCAGCGGAAAAGGGGGGAATCAATCGAGGGGCGGGGCAGGTGGCGTTAAATCAAAATCAATACCCGGCTAACGAAAATTTCAAACTTGCTTATCATCATCGCGCTGTCTGCCGTTGGCTGGCTGATGGACTCTGGCTTTGTGGGCTTTATCCTTGGCCACTTTGGCGTATACTTGATGTGTCAGCGATTGGCATCATGGCCGTGCCCCATGATTGATTGACGATGATTTATCTTGACATGATAGCCCGTGACTTTGATTTTTAGTCACAGTTAGGCTTAGCTTCTGCTGGTGGCCCGAGAATTATCACTTTAGTTCAATTTTTTATCTCCTTTGCGAGGTCAACAGCCTGATTTTAAGACGGTTTTCCTTCCCTTTATGGCCTTATTCCCTAAAAATCGTTTAAAGTCACGTAAGTCCCATAAGCAAGCTTTCAGTTCCTTGGCTAAGTAAACATTTCCGTTTCCCTCTGCCATTTGCTGCACAAACAGAAAGCAAATGGATTTGCTGCAACTCGATTCGTTGCAATGACCGTTGATTTTTCCAACGATTTTTCCATTATTACTTGACGCTGAATTTCCTTTCACCCCGAGGCTGGTGGGCGGCTGACCTCGCCCAAAACTTAAACGGATTGCAACTTTGTGCACTCAGCCTGCGGCACTTGGATCGATTTCTACAGCCCCCTGCACCGTCAAGTCGAGAAATTCGCCCGAATCAAAAAGTTTATTTGTCGTATAATTGCCCCAGATTATTGCCACTTTTGTCGCCTTTCGCGCCACGCTTATGTACACATTTATTGCTCGCAAATACGTGTGAATAGCAGCGGAAAGCTGTATGTGGTGGCTCTTTGTTTGCACAATTGATTGCTGCCCATATTGACCACCCGCCCCACTTTCGCCCACTTACCATTGGCCTTTGTTAGCCTGCAGCCAATTATTTGTTGACATTCAGCCGAAGATTGCAAGTGACGGGTCCCGCAGAGAGCTCTGGAGTTGCTGACCTGCGCCCAGTGTCCTGAGTCCTGTGTCCCGAGTCCTGTGTCCTCTGTTCTCTGTCCCCTGTGCCGAGTGCCCAGTCCCATCGGCGTCTGCTACATGCCACGCTCCTCATTATTATCATCCTCGGCCCATTGACTCTGCCAGCTCATCAATTGCTAATTGCCCCGTGCGAATCGCTGATGGAGTATTTTCATAGCCCAGCTGAAATTGCACTCACTTTGTTCCGCACTCTTTCCAGGCTGCCATCATCAAGGAGGGCTTCCTGCTCAAGCACACTTGGTCCTTCCAGCGCTGGCGACGTCGGTACTTTCGTCTCAAGCGAAATATGCTATTCTACGCCAAGGATGAGAAGGTACGTTATAGTCTTAATTTAATGTAATTTGCTGATTGTTCTGTTCTATAGCATATCTATTTATTATTTATGTACATAAAATAACCACTTATTCATGATTCAAAAAAATACTTTGATTGAAGGTTTGATACATTTTAGGCTAATGTTTTTTCATAACTAAAAACCATATTTTTCAAAGATATTTAAAATTTATAATGATGACCCGATCATCGGATAACTGAAAACTGCCTTTTCTTTGTTATTGTATCTCTTAATCCATCGCTTAAAACAGTTAAGAGCAGAACAACATGACTTCCAAGGCCCAAAACTCTTAAATTAACTCATTAAGCTAATAACAAATTTTAAATTAGCATGTTCTTTTAGTTACTACTATTTAAGATAACAAACTTATTCGACTCGTATTCGATTGTTAATACCTAAACCATAAGTTCATCAAGAAAATTGAAATTGAACTGTACTAGCACAATCTATTTACAGTCCACCTTTATATTTAAATGCAATTACACATAAACTCTCATTAAACCTGTTTTTGGGTGAATTGAACTTAAATGGTTGGGAAGTAAAATGCTCTTTGTCCATTTTTTTAATAATAATATTATCTATGAACAAATTTGTCAAGTTGAATGGGAAATAGTATACCGTGAGTCAGGAAATCCAAAAAAAGATAGAACGATAGATAGCCTCGTGCCACGACACTCATATACCTATTAATCAGCTCAGCAACTTTTAGCTGTTGATCAATTTTAAAATAAAATTTTATAGCAAATCTACGACGGAAGACACCTAACGGGTGGCGCCACTTAGAGCATTCATACTTCATAGGGTCGTAAACGCTTCCTACCAGTTACATACTTTCCCACTAATCTAATTTACCCCTTTACTCTACGAGTAACGGTTATAAAAAGTAGAAATCAACCCAACAGCATTTCCAAATTAATAGCTTTACTTGGTTGAGGATAAAAACATTCCTTTCTATTTTCCATTTTCCGCTCAAATTGAGTACCACTTGGTAGTGCTCTTTTGACGGATTGCTCCGAGCACCACTGTGTAGGAATCTTTTTTCCATCTGACCCTTCACATTTGTTGCCTGCGGACTGACGCGGTTCCTGTGTTTTGCACTCTCAAATTGCGTTGCAGCAAATATCAGGATATAATTACCAAATGAAATTACCGAGCAGCCTGAGGGCAAAACAATGTCGGCGGAGTGGCGGAACTAAAGGTTAAAAGGGGGAAAATCCAGACAGGTGAGACAGACAATAAATTGGTTTATTGCGTGCAGTGCTCTTTTCATCAATAATGAACGCTTTTAAAATGCCCGCCTTACATGGGGGCACGCCACCTAATAGAATCAGAATGTGGGTGAATTTTCGGTGGCAATATTGGGGCCAGAAGGTTGTGGGCTGATTGCAGTGGCTTTTAGTGACTCAATAAATCGAACCGCCTCCCCTGTCAATGTCAAATGAACTCGATTGCGGCGTGCCTGCCGTTAATCATGTTAACGAAGCTAATTGCCTGGTAAATCAATTATTTATGGCCGGCCTCTGAGCTCAAGTTTGGGGCTTGTACTAGTGCTATCAGGAGCAGAAGCCTGACTGCTAAACTGATTACTCAACGCTTTTAAGCTGAATTCATCTCAATTCTACACTTGATCCCCTGTTCTTGTGAATGCCAATTGCATCTCATGCGAATGCGATTGACGTCAATCCAGCATCAAAACACGCTTCAAGCTCGAAATGCAATTATTTTGTAAACTTTTAAACAGGCAGCGGGCTCTTCAGGGCCCGGCTTTGCGTTATGAAAGAGCTATGAAAATATTACGTATTCGCCGTGTATTGCTTTCATGTTGGCACAATGCGAAGCATTAGAGTGCACACTGGCCTTGTTTGGAGCAGCGATGACGCGCTTCCATTATGCAACAAGTCGAAGCCGTCTCCCCCACCTCACTTTCTTCCTGTTGACATTTAGTATTTTGCCATGTAATGACGGGTTGCCAGGACTCCCTGGCCACCAAAATGATTAGCCTCATTAGGGCCTGCCAACCGGTAGCATTTATTTTGATTAAAAATTCTGTTTGATGCCCGATAAATAGACCCTAAGGTGTCGCTTTATTAAAAGGTTAATATCGCCGGCGTTCGCATTCCTTGGCTGGCCGAAAAGTGCCTCCGACCTCATTAAGCGTAGGCACGAAATTTCAATTATAATTACGTATGCGCCGTGTTGTGCCCAAGTGGCTTAAACGGTGGGCAATTTGTTGCCGTAGTAAACTCCAATAAAAAGGGCCAACAGAAAGCAAAATACTGCGAAAACTACGCGTGCCAGACAAATACGCGGCCATACCTAAGTCGGTCCTAAGTTGGGGCACAAAAGGGATAAGCCTTTGGCGGGTTGGTAGAAAAGGGGCAAGGCATTCTGCGGGAAGGAGGGGGGAGACAGCTAGCTGATGCTGATGCTCATGTTGATGATGGTTGTGCTGCTCGTAAAAGCGCAAATTTTTGTTTGCATTGTTTTCATCGCTGCCTTCTCCTTGGAACGTTCCTTGGGCACTTTCTCCTTTTTCTCTCTCTCTCTCTCGGCCTCGTTGTTTTGGCCCATACTCGCGAAGCTCGTTTCGGCCCATTGTGCTTCCTCTTCGCGCTGCACGCGACTCGGCCGGAACAACAACTCTGGGCCAAAACTCACCACAGTTGTAAAGCCGTAGTACTCGGCTTTTGGCCATGTGCGCGCTCCCACGCGAAAAGTATGGGGATGCTGGGTTTCAGTGTGTGCGTGTTTTGTTTTGAAACGTGAAAGCTCGCTTTGCTTGTATGGAGAGCACAAAGCTCTGGCTCCAGGGTTGCCACTCTCACCAAACTCTTAAAAATATTGTTAACTATAAATCGTATATGATTAAAATTACTTATGAAATATAATATTGGAAACAATTAGAATTCTTTCTTCACTGAACACAGCTCTTACAAAATATTGAGAACGGACAATCCTAAATCCTTTAAATTACGAAAAAAGGGCGGAATATTTTTAATTTTTTAAATTGTTTCTAGTAATATATAGTAATTATAGTCATTAACAAAAAAGGTGGAAATTTAAATTCATCATTAAAATTATTTTGAAAATGTTTTTCTTAGAGCTTCGTAAATTCCTTACTTTTGTATTGTAAGAAATATTGAATAACAAATTAGTGGTTAAAAGATATAAATTAAATCTTTCGAAAATAAAAGAGCTAAGACTTGTGAACCTTTTTTTTAACAAAATACATCCTGGCCACATAGATTTATTTTCGGTGTGCAAAAAGCTTTGCCACTAGACCACCATTCCCCGCAGGTCCCCAGCGCACCTGTAAATATTTGTATCCTTTCGGGCGCATGCCAGGCTGATGTAAAGGAGCAGAAAGCGGGCAGCCAGCATGTCTGTGCGTGGTGAGTTTCGAAAGGCGGCCAATAAAAGCGACTGCTTGGCAGGACTCGAGCTCAGTTCAAACTCAACGAAGCAATGTGCCACAACTCAGCAAAAACAGCGAAGTCCACAGCAACATCACCAACATCATCAACACCAGAGGAAGCCGAGGAGAGGGCCTACCAGGCCGAATAATTAATTATTTAACCGCCAAGAAACATCGATAAAGTTACGAAGAAAACATTACGATTAGTGTTAAAGGAAAAACAATTTTATTATTATTTTGGATCGGTCCGCGAGGCGGCGGCGGTAAGGAGCTGTCCTTAAGCCATTGCCTCAAGTTTTGTGTGTGAGTTCGTAAGATGTGAGCCAAAAAGGCAGTAGAACTTTCAGCCGAAAGCCGAAGAAGCAACAGTTTCAAAAAACCATAAACTAAACGCCCAAGTCACCGCTAAATCAATATTTTGTGTGTTTTTCGGGGTAAGTTCAGCCTGCTTTCAGGCCCATTTCCATTTTATCATCGTTTCAATACCGCTTTGGGGTAAATGATTTGTCCGGGGCTTACCAAAGTTTCCGACGGCTTTCGTTCGCATTAATCCTGGAACAAATACATTTATGTGAGGAGATTTGTGAGCCTGCCAAAAGTTTTAATTGCCTAATTTAATTAATGCGCGCTAGTTGAGCTCTCTCGGTTTGGGGAGCTTAAGACATTAATTTAAACTTTGGCGGAACAGCCGTGATGAAAGTCCAGATAGAGTGGCGCTTTGTTCTATCCCTGTTCTTGTTTGTATAATTCTGCCCTCAGACAAACATCTAATTGACTCCGAGCAGTTAGCACACACACGCAATCAATTCAATTCAGCCAGGAGCACTGACCTTTGTCTCAGTCTGGCGATGTCTGGTTGCGAACTGCCAACTTCTCGTTGGATCCTCGTTCCTCCCCTGTATAAAGGGGGCACTTTCTGGCTAATTACCTAGGCACACAGCCATCCCAGTACGTAGCATATGCGTATTAAATGGCAACAAGAGGCTGCCAAACAATCAGCCAAAGTGACATTTCCACCAGGATAATTGTGTGCATATTTATTAAAGGGGACGAGCGGCGAGTGGGGAGCAAATTAAAAGGGGAACGGGAATGCCACATGTGTGCTATGATGATGAAAACGATACAAGAGTAAGCTCTGCCCGATAATGGACTGCGGGACTTACCTGGAGCACATTGTCCTGCCATCTTATGCACTCAGAAAATGGACTTTTCACCTATGGGAATCTTGTTAAGTTTATAAAAAATGTATTACAATTTTCTAGTTTAAAGTTTTTTTTTCAGTCTAGAAAGATATCTACAGTTTATTGATTTTTTTAAGATTTAAAGAATAATTAATTTTAAGAACGGATGCCTTAATTTAAAGTACGGCAACCGAAAATATTTAATTTTTTGCTTTTCTTTTTAGATTTAATAAATCTTTTATAAATAAAAAAACTGTATTTCGAAAACACAAAATACCCTTCTTTAACCAGAAAGTTTTTCTTTATTTAATGACCACTACATTATTTCTGAAATATTAAAACTGCTTTCTTCTTAAAAATAAAGGAAGGGGGTCACTACTATT